TTCAAAGAGAGAGAAGGGATGTCTCAGAGACCTCTTTATCAGGAAGGAATTTGGGAGCCGTACCACTTAATCCCTGAGCCCTTTGGGGTGAAAGCCTGAGCAGAGGTCAAACTCTGCCTTGGATCTTAAACCCTTATCAGACTCTTAAGATCGGCCCTCAACACATATTTATGATATCCACCATGAATCTTCTCTATAGTTTTGCAAGCTTTTTCTCTCATTTTTTTTTTACTACTGAAACACATTTTCTTTTTCTTTTTTCTCAGTAGTTTTTTCATTAACAATCATTTATTTTCTCTCTCTTCCACCCCCTTCATTGAAAGGAAAAAAAATCCTTTTGACAAATATTCATAGTCAAGCAAAACAAGTTTCCTCATTGTGTATATTCAAAGATGTGTGTCTTACTCTGCATCTTCACTCTTCTCTCTCAGGGGAAGGGTCACATGCTTTATCATCAGTCTTCTCAATTCATGGCGGGTCATTGCATTGGTCAGAGTCCTCAAGTCTTTTTAAGTTGTTCTTCTTTACAATGTTTTTATCTTATAAATTGTTCTCCCACGAACCACATTTTGCAACTTTTTTTAAACCAGCCTCCTCTGTACTCACTGTGCAGTGAAGTCACACAGGTTATATATCTATTGATTTAACTTGGAGGTTGACATTGAGTTCTTTACAGAAATCTTCCTCTGCAACAAATATTGGCCCCAAAGCTGCAGTTCCTATATTAACATGGTCTTTTTGCTATTACTTATCATGAGATGATCACATATCCCTTTAAATAATGTTTTTGGTTGCTTCTGAAATGATGGTTTGGTTACTTTGGGATAAAGCCAATTCTACAAACTCTCTTCTATCTGCCTCTTCAATGAGCACTTATGAATCATTCTGTTTATAAAAACATCTTTGTCTTCTAGTTTCGTTTAGAGGTGAGAATGTCAAGACTGATAAGATTCACTTCCTAGAGCACTATGTCACCTGGCCATGTAACTCACAGGTAGAATACCAACAGTTATGCTAATGTGTATAGCCATTCTTAAATCTGTGACTCTTAGCACCCTATACCCCTTGTTCCACCAGTCTTTCTGCTATCGTCACTGAAGAAGTCAAAGGAAGGCCCTGATGACTGAAACCCATTTTGTCTTTTTCTTTTCTTCCTTGGAGTTTCCATGCTCAAAAAGTCCATCAACAAATGGCCAGACTGGGAATGATGGGTCTTTCTATACTTAGTAGGCTGGACCTTGGAAAGCAGATGTAGTCATAGCTGGCATACTTCATAACCTCCAAAAATCCAGGATTAACTCCACAACACCAGTTTTGGAAGTAGGTTCCTATAGAGTAGGACTTTGTGGAGAAATGTGTTCACAAACAAATACAAGGTAATTTGAAGAGTGAAAAAACACTAACAACTGGGTTGGGGGTAGGGGGAGACTTCTAGGAAAGGCTTGGTGGAGGAGGTAATGCCTCAGGTGGATCTTGAAGGGAAGCTAAGGATTCTAAGAGACAGAGGACAGGAGAGAGAACATTTTAGGCAGGTGGAACAGCCTGTGTAAAAGAATAGAGGTGGGAAATGCCCATAGAAAAGACTCAGAGTGGGGGGCAGAGCCAAGATGGCGGAGTGAAAGCAGTGACTTAATTGAACTCTCCTCCAAACCTCTAAACAAATTCTGAAGCAGCAGAATCCACAAAAAGACAGAGTGAAACAAATTTCCAGCCCAAGACAACCTGGATGATTGATCAGAAAGGTGTATCGTGCCGGGCTGGGGCTCACAGGCCGCAGTGAACCTGGAGCAGGCCTCAGAGGACTGAATCTCTGGCAGCTGTGGAGGTTTACAGACTCCTCAATCCACCAATGCCAAAGACAACTTAGAAGGTCAGTGGGAAAAGTCTGTTTCTGTTGATGCTCAGAGAGGAAGGCAGGGTTTCAGCTTCCTTCCCCAAGAGCATGGCCCGGGGTGGGGCAGCTGCTTCCTGAGCTTCCTGCCCACAGACTGAGGGGGAATCCAGTGGCTGATCAGAGAGGGATTGCAGGGATCTCTTTGCCAGTGCTGAGGCAGGAATCTCTTGCTTTACCTGTGTTTGGATTTGGGTCACAGTTCTGGGTGGCAGTGCTGGGGTAAGGAGGAGCACTGGCTTGGTAGAGCTTGTATCGGCTGTGGAGAGGAACCCCTCCTTACAGTTACAGGACAGAAAGAAGTACTTGTGGTCACAGGCCAGGAAAGGAGTAAACACCTCGCCCCTTATCATACCACCTTGGAAGAACTGAAAATTTACAGATCCCTACAAGTATCTCTGAAAACAGCTGTACAAACCCCCAAAGCTTGGGACAGTACATTCTCCACATTGGAAGCAGATTTGTACCTTAACAAAGAGTTTAAAACTCGAGTAAATAGCCGGGATCATGAGCAAGCAGCGCAAAAAGAGTCAGATTATATTATCTTACTTTGGTGAAAAAGAAGATCAAAATATACAACCAGAAGAAGACAACAAAGTCAAAGCTCCTACATTCAAAGCCTCCAAGAAAAATATGAATCAGTCCCAGGCCTTGGAAGAGCTCAAAAGGGATTTGAGAAGCAAGTAAGGGAAGTAGAGGAAAAACTGAGAGAAATGATGCAAGAAAATCATGAAAAACAAGTCAACAGCTTGCTAAAGGAGACCCAAAAAAATACTGAAGAAAATAACACCTTAAAAAATAGCCTAACCCAAATGGCAAAAGAGGTCCAAAAAGCCAATGAGGAGAAAAATGCACTAAAAAGAAAAATTGGCCAAATGGAAAAGGAAGTCCAAAAGATTACTGAAGAAAATACTTCCTTAAAAATTAGAATAGAGCAATTGGAAGCTAGTGACTTTATGAGAAATCACAACACAGTAGAACAAATCCAAAAGAATGAAAAATTAGAAAACAATGTGAAATATCTCATTGGAAAAACAAGCGACCTGGAAAATAGATCCAGGAAAGAGAATTTAAAAATTATTGGACTATCTGAAAGCCATGATCAAAAAAAGAGCCTAGACATCATCTTTCAAGAAATTATCAAGGAAAACTGCCCTGATATAGTAGAACCAGAGGGCAAAATAGAAATTGAAAGAATCCACAGATCTCCTCCTGAAAGAGATCCCCAAAGGAAAACTCCTAGGAATATTATTATTATTATTATTATTATTATTATTATTATTATTATTATTATTATTATTATTATTATTATTATTATTATTATGTTAGGCAATTGGGGTTAAGTGACTTGCCCAGGGTCACACAGCTAGTAAGTGTCAAGTGTTTGGTCTGAGGCCGGATTTGAACTCAGGTCCTCCTGACTTCAGGGCCGGTGCTCTATCCACTGCGCCACCTACCTGCCCCTCCTAGGAATATTATAGACAAATTCCAGAGTTCCCAGGTCAAGGAGAAAATATTAAAACCTTCCAGAAGGAAACAGTTCAAGCACTGTGGAAACACAATCAGGATAACGCAAGATTTAGCAGCTTCTATATTAAAGGACCGCAGGGCATGGAATATAATATTCTGGAGATAGGATTACAACCCAGAATCACCTACCCAGAAAAACTGAGTATAATCCCTCAGGGGAAAAAATGGTCATTCAGTGAAATAGAGGACTTTCAAGCATTCCTGATGAAAAGACCAGAGCTGAATAGAAAATCTGACTTTCAAATACAGGACTCAAGTGGAACATGAAGAGGTAAACAGGAAAGAGAAATCATAAGAGTCTTATTAAGATTGAAGTATTTACATTCCTGCATGGAAAGATGATATTTATAACTCATGAGACCTTTGTCAGTATCAGGGTAGTTGGAGGATAAAAATTATATGTATGTATATGTAGATAGATAGATAGAGGGCACAGGGTGAGCTGAAGATTAAGGGGTCATATCTGGAGAATAAAATTAAGGGATGAGAGAGGATTATACTCGGAAAAGAAGAAAGGGAGAGGTAGAATGGGGTAAATTATCTCACAAAAAAAACCACAAAGTCTCTTACAGTGGAAGGGGAAACAGGGGAAGGTGAGAGGGAATGAGGGAATCTTATTCTCATAGGATTTGGCTTAAGGAGGGAAAAACATACACATTCAATTGGGTATGGAAATCTGTCTTACCCTACAGGAAAATAGGGGGGAAAGGGGACAAGAGAGCAGGGGGATGATAGAGAGGAGGGCAGATTGGGAAAGGGGTTAATCAGAGGTAAATACTTCTGAGGAGAGACAGGGTCAAAAGAAAGAATAGAATAAATGGGAGGGCAGGATAGGATTAAGGGAAATAGAGTTAGTTTTTCACATGTCTACTATGGACGTGTTTTGCATTAGTGCACATGTACAACTTATATTGAGTTGCTTGCCTTTTCAGTGAGGGTGGGTGGGGAGGGAGGAAGAGAGAAAATTTGAAACCTAAAGTTTTAAAAACATATGTTTAAAAAAAATGTTTTCACATGCTAGTGGAAAATAAATATAGGAAATGGGGTACAGAAGTCTATCTTGCCCTACTGGAAAATAGAAGGGGAAGGGGATAAGAGAAGGGGAGAGAGATAGAAGAGAGGACAGAGTAGGGGAAGGGATATTCAGAATGCATGACATCTTGGGGTTGGGGGAGGGAGGAGATGGGGTGAAAATTTGGAACTCAAAAACTTGTGGAATGGAATGTTGAAAACTAAAAATAATTAAATTTCTGTTAAAAAAAAAGAGTCAGAGGACTGACTGAACAATTGTGGGATTGAAATGAATCTGTTTACTGAGTCCCTGAGGCAGCATTTACTTCTGATTCTTCCCTGTAGGTGTTGTCCTTTTAGTGAAGTGAATCACTTTTGATATAGTGACCCCTCTAATGGGGCTCTGTGGAATCATTTCCTATTTTATGGAGAACACTTTGGTTTTCCACATAGCCTATTGTCAGTGAGAGGAAATAAAGCTGGGTTCTCTTTCTTTCTTTCTCTCTCTCTCTCTCTCTCTCTCTCTCTCTCTCTCTCTCTCTCTCTCTCTCTCTCTCTCTCTGCAAAGATGGAGTAACTGCTGACTGAGAAAAGATCTTGGGTTAAGGGAATACATCCTCGTGAAGAATCTTTCTCCAGCATGACTGCCTTCTATAGTAACCAAGGATATGAAGAAGAACCCGATTACCCAGACTTCTCCAACTCCAGGGCAAATCTGGATTCCCTGAACGGTCCAGACTATCTGTATTGCTGGAATAATTCCAACAACCTGAAGTTCAAAGACAATGCAAAGTTTTCAAGCACTCACAATTATCCCGATTATCCTGATGCACTGAACAGTCCAGATTATCCTGGAGCTGAGGACTACCTAGACAATCTAGGCTTCAGGAATCATCAGGAGTATCCAGGATCCCATACAAATACATCCTTTTCAAGATCCCAAAGGACTCCTGACTACCCAGGCCCTAGGAGCAGTTCTTATCATTCAAGGTCCAAGCACAGCCTGGACTCCTTCAGATTCATGACAATTCCAGACTATCCTGGGGCTGAGGACTATCAAGACTCCAGAGAGGATCCAGATCCTGGGAACAATGCTTACAGATCAAGTTCCAGAAGCTATCCAGACCGCCTGGGTTCCCTGGGAATTCCAGACTATCAAGGTGCTGAAGACAACCTGGGCACTCCAGATAATTGGGGAAGTGCATATATACAAAACAGTCAGAACAATCATGGCTACTCCTATTCAGAGAAACCAGAAATGGGCAGAGGGTAAGTGTCAAGAGCCTGACCTCCAAGACATGGAGACTAGTTCTCAGATTGTAAAAATCATTGGAAAATGCATATTAATAAATGAGAGAAAGAGCAGATCAACAAAATGGGTGTACATCTAAAAAGAATCTAGAAAAACAACAAATTAAAAACATCCAAGTAAACACCAAAAATAGAAATTCTAAAAATCAAAAGACAGATGAACAAAATTGAAAGTTTTTAAAAATTTAATAAATAAAACTAGAAGCTAGTTTATTAGGGAAAAAACCAACAAGATAGATAAACTGTTGGCTAATTTGATTTAGAAAATTCAAATTACCAGCATCAAAAATGAAAAAGGTCAATCTACACCCAATGAAGAAGAAATAAAAGCAATTATTAGGAGCAATTATTGTTCTCTAACTGTATGCCAATAAAACTGACAATAAAGTCTGTGGGATTGAATAAAATTATTTGGCTTGGGTCAAATACACCTATCTATATGGTCATATATTGTGATCACTTTTGTACCCACAAAGTGGACCTAAATTAGGCCTTTTCCTCAGAGAGAGCATCTAAAACTTATTGTCAGTCATGCAAATGTGCTTCTGAAGAAAGTCCTTTTTCAGCAAATTCCACTATTTAAATGTTTGAAACTTTATTAGTTTTGTTAAATCATACTATAGGGCAGGTAACGAGAGTCATCATTCTGGGCTTTTCCATCGGACCTTGGGTGCTCCTGAGAGAGACAATCGAGATTACCCAGATTCCTTCCAAATGACCTCAAGGCAGCCTACATCTCTGTATAGCATGTACCCAGTGCCAGATCGTGATGGGGATGAATATAGTAAGTATTTTCCAACACCAAATTTGTAGGATTGTGACCTGCTAAGAAATTAAACATGATGTCCTCAGGGAGGGTACACTTTTAGATACTTTCAACTTACAAATGCGTTATGATTTTCATCATCTTAGTTTAACATAATTTAGTGATGTTCAGTCAACCAATAAGCATGTATTATTGAGTACCTTCTATGTGATGAATGTAGTACTAGGCACTGCAGTGGGATACAAATGACATAGGATCTAGCTCATCTCCCCTAGGAGTTTAAAAGGCAGTTATATGGTGCAATTGACAGAGTACTGGTTTTGGGAACCTGAGTTCAAATATGACCCTAAATACTTACTAGCTGCATGACCCTGAGAAAGTCATATTAGTTTGTTCTGCCTCAGTTTTCTCATCTGTAAAATGGGAATAATAATGGTACCTACCTCCGAGAGTTGTTTTGAGGATAAAATGAAAATGTTTATAAGGTGCTATTCAAACCTTAAAGCAGTAGTTCCAGCCAGGGGGCCGTGAGATCAAAATTATTTTTATAATAATACTAAGATGTTATTTGCTTATTAAAACACTCCTCCCTTTTCCAACTACATGCCCATGTGAGGCCAGATATTCTTCATAAATTTTAACCAAAACAACATATTGTAAGATATTGCAACAGATTGAGTGCAGAATCAGATATGGGAACCCATTGTCTTCCATTAAGCCAGACATTAGAGATTTGAAAAAAATAAAAATAAAATGATGCCACTCTTCTTGCTAAATTTCTTTTATTTTGGAAAATATAGGGTTTTTTTTTAACTAAAATGTCATTTATGTTGACATATAATGGGTTTATTATTGGCTTTTAAACTTATCAGCTTCCATTTGTAACATAGTAAATGTTGGTAGGCATTATCCACATAAACAAAAGTTCTTTGGGGCCCTGAATAATTTTGAGGGTGTAAAGGGGACTTGAGACCAAAAAGATTGAGGACCATTGGATAAAAAACACTATGTAAATGCTAGCTATTACAGTCTAGATGGGAAGATGAAACAGAGACACCTTGAAAAAGAGTCAAAAACATTTTCAAGGAGGATTGCAATGACTATATTCAACAAAATATTTGTCACAGGAATTGCAGAATAGCATAGTGCATTTAATACTGCCGATTAATGCTGGGAAAAAAAATGAAATGTTAGAACTGAAAAGGATCTTAGAAAGAGATCATCTGGTCTAAAGGTTCAAAACCTATTAATTAAAAATTTTTTTTAGTTAGCTATATTTCTATATAATTGGTTTTCTTTGCAATCTTGTGATTTTTATTTTATGCATTTAAAAATATTATTCTGAAAAGGGGTCCACAGGGCTTCATCAGTTGTTACAAGGTTTCATGACACACAAAAAAGAATACTAGATCTAGTGCAACTCCTTCATTTTATTAAGGGAAAAACTGAAATCCAGAGAAATCAAGGTAAATGCTATGGCATTTGTTAGAATCTGAGAGAGAATTCAGTTCCTAAAAGATTAGCATTGAGTTTGAAAATTATTAATATATTTTTATATTTAACATCAGTAGTTTTTTACTTTTGTCCCATTACCCATTAACATCAATTACTTATTTAAAAGAATTGTGCCTAGAAAAGTGTCTTTATCTTTCTATGAATATTATTCATTGATAGTAAATGCCTTTCTTCCCCCCTAATTTTTTTTTTTATTCTCCATACTAATAGGAAACCTTGCCTATGAGGATGAAAGCAGTCTAGTTGGAGATTATGGAAATCAGCACTTGGGAAGAAAAGGTGAGCATGTGGGAAATATAAATATGACTCAAACATAAAATGACCAAACACTTCAAAACTGGAGTTGAATTTTAAACTTATTTCATTGGGCCATTGCCAGTTATCTTGACTTTTGTCTTGCCATTGAACTTCTATAACTCTGGAGGAGAGAGTGAGACTGATGACAACTCTGCCTCACCCTCATGATGTCATTGGTCCTCTTTGAGAATGAAAGCCAAATGATAACAACAATTTCAAGTCACTGGAGAGGTGCAGGACACTGATGCAATACTCAGTTCAGCTCAGGGATTTTTTACATAGGAAGCAGAGGATCAATGACTAGAGAATATTGAGCTTCAAAGACAGGCACTACATAAGAATGATCAGAAGGGCTGTGTTGATAGGAAGGCTTGACTTATGAATTGGTCACAATTCGTAAATCTGTGATTATAGGGTCATAAAAATTGGTCATAATGGCATAAACCTATGCTGCCTGACTTGAGGTGACCCAAAGGCCTACCCCACCTTCTTATGATTAAAAACATCTCATTCATCTGCCGACTACAACTGAAGCAATGATTATTAGCCTTACTCCTTAAGAACCATATTGAGTGGACAAAAATTTCTAACTGAGTTAAGGCATCATATTACCTGAAAAAGATTATAATTAGTTAATCATCATGCAATAAGTTATCTGATAAATTCTTTAGAACACAATATATTAGAGATCAGGGGGCAGATTGCATCAATATATCCCTTTAAAAGCATCATTATAATATAAGATGTGTCTCTATATCTCACTGTAGATATTATAACTTTTAATATATCTTTTAAATAACAACATTTCTCCCTTCTCTCCTAGCTTTCTTGGTATCCTTCAGGTCTCACCTGAAGTCTCACCTTCTACAAGAAGCCTTTCTTAGTCTTTCTTTATTTTTAAATTTAATTTAATTTTTATTTTTAGTTCCAAATTCTCTACCTCCCTCTACCCCCTTCCCCACCCATCCAGAAGGCAAGAAATATGATACTAATTATACATATGAAGTCATGTAAAATATATTTCCACAATAGCCATTGTCCTTCTAAATCTTAGAGCCTTCCCTCTGTGATTATCTCCGACTTCCCCTGTACATATCCTATGTGTACATAGCTGTTTGCATATTGTCTCTCCCCTTAGACCATGAGCTCCTTGAGAGCCTAGACTATCTTTTTGTCTTACTTTGTACTCACATCTCTTAGCATAGTTCCAGACACATAGTAGGCTACACTTAATAAATGCAAATTGACTGACTGACTATGAGGTATAGTTTAGAAACTCTACCTTCTGTTTCTAGAATCCTTCAGTCTATAATGAAGAATTCTGTTTTAGCTTTCTTCCCTAGATACCATGAGACAGCCAATTCCCTGAAAGTAGGCCAACTTATGGATGTTGGTCTTAGGAGCCATTTTAATTTTCTGAATTGTTTTTTTTAAATTATTTTTCAGTGTTTGGGAAAATAGAGATAAATGTAAGCTTCCTTGACACTGTAACTATACCCGAGAGTGAAATTGTAAGAAATGAGTGCTAGCCCTGATAGAGCAGAGGATCAGAGCTCAGGAAAAAAAAATGTTTTCTGAGTTTTTCAGAAAGAGGAGAGATCAGAAGGTTGTAGAGAAAGAACCTAAGAACAGAAAGCATAATGATCATGTGGTGGAGGTCTTCATCAATGTCGAAGATCTTAGACTGACGTCCCGGATGTCAAGATCTCTGTTGCCTAGTTTATCCCAAAACAAATGGCAGCAAAAAATTATTGACCTTGAGGATATGGATGTTGAAATGACAGAGGCTGTGCCTCCAAAGGTTCCAGCCTCCAGAAAGGGGAATCGATTAAGCAGGATTTCAAATTCCATCTCGGTATCTTTTTCTCAGGCTTTTCACATCCGTGATCATTCAGATGATTCTTGTACAAATCCACTAGGTAATGCTACTCTGGAGAGCCTTGAGGGAGTGTCTGAGAATGGAGAGAAACTCTTCTTCTAAGGGGCCTGTGCCATAACAGTACAGTTACTTTGGTTTACATATATTCATGAGACCATATAGTTATAAATTCCGTTAAGAATCCTCAAAGCAAGGAGCACAAAATAAGAGAATAAAGAAGAAGGTTCTTGATAGCTTTGGGTATAATAATTAATTTTCTCTATTGCAGTACAATAGAAAGATCATTGGATTTAGAGTAAGAGGACTTGAGTTCAAATCCTGATACTTTACCTTCTAGCCTCAGTTTTCTCATTTATATCATTTAACTAAATGACATACAAGATCCCTTCCTGCTTCAGATCTATGATTTTAATTCCCAGCCTGACTCTCTCTCTCTCTCTCTCTCTCTCTCTGTATCTGTCTCTATATATATGCATATTGCCAACCTGACCATATATGTGTATGTGTGTCTGTCTATCTATCTAAAAAAAGAAATAAATATATCTATACATAGAATCTATATAACTAAAGAAACAAATATATAGACCTTATTGATAAATGTATAGAAACAAATATATCTGTCTATAGATATCTATAGATATATCTATATGTCTGTATAGATAGATATACCCACATATATGTATATAGATAGATACACACACATGCACACATATGTGTATAGACATATTATGTGTATACTTCTGTGTACTCTGAGCTATTTTGACTTACTTCAAGGTGTGGCAGATTTTTTTTCTTAATCTCAAAATTAATTTAGATTTACTTGAATTTTAAAAGTAGAAGAAACATATATATACATATACATACACACACATATATTATACACAATATCTATCCCATATAGTTTTAAACTTCTAGTTTTAAAAATTATCAGCAGAATGGAACTTGATTTTTTAGATAAGAACTCTATATAGGAAACTGTATATGTTATGTGGGGTTTTTAGGTATAATTGAATCCTGCCTATGTGTGCACATGCACATATATTTTCTTTATTTCAGGGCTGGATATTTTTGCTTTGTTTATTCCACTCCAAAGCTAAAAGCTGTTAAACTTCGAACCTCTTCTGTCATAGGATTCCATCGTTAATCTCAGAAAACTAGGCAAATGTGGAGGTAGTGTGCTGAAGGTGAAAACCACTGGCCTAGAAGTCAAAAAGCCTTGAGTTTTACTCTGGGCCCCACCATTCCTTATCTGTGATGCTCTGGGGCAATTCCTTTAATCTCTTTGGTCCTTTGATTTTTTTGTTAAAAGGGTATTAGAGGAGATGATCTCTAATGTTTGCTCTAGCTCTAATGTTCTATGATACCATGACCAAGATAGGTAAGTAACAAGCTATAAAACAAAGTTTAGTTGATGGCGTGTGGAGGGATGATAGACTGTTGATAGACCAATCCCACTAATACTACCTCAGTTCCTAAGAAACATTCCCCTAGACGTTATGGGTTCTATCCAGGGCAGTATTGGGGCCGGTTAAAGCTTTATCAGGATAGACTGGCAGGGGTCGGGAACTTGCAGCCTCAACGCTACATGTGGCCTTCTAGGTCCTTGGGTGTATCCTTGTGACTGAGCCCAAGTTTTACAGAACAAATCCTTTTATTAAGGGAATTTGTTCTGTGAGATTTGGATTCAGTCAAAAGGTCACAGTTGAGGACCTAGAGGGCCACATGTGGCCTCGAGGTCACAGGTTCCCTTCCCCTGGTTGAGGAACGGTTTTGAGTTTCCTTTAGAGAGTCACTCATAATCAAGAATAAGAGAATAGGATAGGATAGGGCTTAAGATGAGCAGAAGTTAAATTTGGAAGAGCATTTAAGGGCCAGCTTAGTTGAGGAAAGAAGAAAAGGACTAGATGGGCCAAACATAACTATGATTCTCCCTCTTTCTCGATTCTTCAAAATCTAGAAGCCAGCACAGATCCAGGTAGTCAGTTCTTCCCTGGTAGAAGTCACACGTACAAAGCCTATATGTTTTGAGAAAAGTGTTTTCATCACATTACTACTGACTAATTTTTTTGGGGGTTAACAATTCCAAAATGCTGATAAATAGCAGAATAGTAGATATTTTTTAAATTGGAGATTATATTTTTCTATTGATAAAATGATACAATTTAATAATACATACAAAATAATACAATATTAAATTGAAATGTGTTAAGCTTGACAACAAGCTATTCATTACTTGTAGTTAATAATAAGCACGATAGTTATTTACATCTTTTTTTTTTTACAGTTAATTCTTTTGGCTGGAGAAGGAACTGGCATGAAGATGCCTTGCAGGCACATGATCCTACTTTTATGAATATTGCAGACAAAACCAAGCATGGTAGGTTCCTATGAGCTGATTTGTTGGGGGTGCAGCGAGGAGGCATTTAGAAAATGATTTCATAAATAATGTATCAAAGTTCTGAAGGGTACTTTCTCCTAGTGTGCCTTTATGTGCTTTTTCTAAGGCAAAGGATTTACCACTAAAATCCAGATGTCTAGATTATTTAAGTTTATTGCCGGGATAGTCTCTGACTTGTCTTTCTGAGGTAATTATGCCCTAGATCCAAGCTAGACACTGGAGGAAGGCATTTTGGGATTCATATTACTCTGGGTGCTATCTTGTTAATAGCTTTAGAGGCCAGTCCATTGGTCTAGAAGTTCAGTTTTTGCCTAGAATTTATGGATTGGATGCTATGAAAAACATTCTGTTTGGAAAGGTTCTATTATGATACATGGTAGATGCTTTATAAATGCTAGTTGATTGATTGAAAGTCATCCTGACTTAAAGGGTTGCCTAGCAGACCCATAACTAGCAATTTTGGTGACTGGAGCAAATAGCATGAAACAACTCCAAGGCAAGCAACACTGAGTACCTCTAAATCAACTTTCTAATTAATAATTTGAAAATAATACAAAAATAATCAAGACTGATTCAGTTGATCAGGTAGGGAGACCAGAGTACAACCAACTCTCAATCTGGAGGGCAGATACCAATTGTAGGGCTTTTTCTAATAAGAGATAGAGTTCTCAGTACACTTTGAAGTCACTGCCAAGAATTTTGCCACCCAGGGGGGAACAGAGCCAGGCTGGAAAGAAGCTCACCTACTATGTAGCCCCATCTGGGGAGGAAGTAGACAAAAATATCTGGTAGCTTGTTAGTTTTATTCATTGTTCTTGCCTACTAGATGCTAAACTCAGTTGTTTCTAGCTGCTGAAAGAGTAAAGGTGCAGTCAAAATATAAATGTAACAAAGTTTGCATGATCCTTTAAAATTATCATCTTCAGTGTTGTCCTATACATTTTTCAGGGTGCAAATGCCTAGTTATGGCTCTGTTGGTTAAAATAGAGAACTTCTCAAAGTCTTTTCCAGTCTTGTGGCATGTGACTTTTCCTAAGAGAATGTAATTCAGCAGAAGACAAAGACTAAAATTACAGAGATGAGAAATTTAAACAAAAAAGTTGTCTATTCTTGTTCTACTTGGAGATTCCAACTGAACAAATTGTAAAATCATCTTAGGTTTAGTTTGGAGAAATATATTGATGTTCTAATTCAATAATTTCAGGAAACATATAAACTGAATTTCAGTTCAGGCTAATTGCATTTTTTTTTGTAAATTGGTAAAAAAAATTAATACATTAATTATAGAACACATGTTAAGTATCTATTTTATACCCTGTGTTAGGGGCTAGAAGGGAGACAGAGAGGAATAAGACTCAATGACTACCATCATAAAGTTTACAGTCTAATAGAGGGACAAGATGTATGCAAATAATTTAATATAAATTAAATGTGCTAACTACCTGAGAGGAGTATGAATACAGTGCTCTGAGTTCAGAGTTAATATTAAGTTCAATTTCTGGCTTCAATAATTGAGTATGATTTATTTTGTTGCATGGTTCTGAGTTCTGTTTGAGTACTTGAATTGGAGCCATTCTCATTTCTTAAAACTATCCTGGGGACAGCTAGGTGGCACAGTGGATGGAGCATCGGCCCTGAAGTCAGGAGGACCCGAGTTCAAATCCTGGCCTCAGGCCAAACACTTGACACTTACTAGCTGTGTGACCCTGGGGAAGTCACTTAACCCCAATTGCCTAAAAAAAACCCTATCCTATAATGTGGTTCTTTTAGTGGTTTTATAGGAGATTGCTTGTTTTTGTAAACCGTGTCATTTCTTTTTTTTTATGACCCTTATACAGAGGAAAAGTTGGTTGCCTCTCTTGTAAACTTACCAAGTAGAGACAGAAGTAAAATCATCCGGAATCAGCCATTGACCATGCAGGAAAAAAGGAAAATTAAGTAAGTATTGAGGCTTTTTCTTCTTTCCTGAGCTGAATATGAATTTCTATGATCTACTTCAGATGAATTTTGAGAGGGTAAGAAAAACTCCTAGTCTAGGAATTCCATAAGAAACAGAGAGAAAAGATATCAATATTTTACACTGAAATTCTCACATTTGGTCTCATATTTTTCTCATATGTTTGGTGTCCATTTTAGAATTCAAGAGAATTCTAACTCCATACTCCAGTCTCTGTTACTGTGTGGCTTAGAGTAAATCGTTTCACTTTTCATGGCCTTCATTGCCTCAAAATAATAAGGATGAACTATAGAATTTTTTTATTCTGAATGTAAATAAAGCAAGCATTTATAGGATTTTATTTATAGGATTTCTCAAGTTCTTTTCAGGTCTAACATTCCATTCCTGCAACATGATAACCTCACTGAGGGGGCAGCTAGATGGTGCAGTGGATAGAACACCAGCCCTGAATTCAGGAAGACCTGAATTCAAATCTGTCCTCAGACACGTGACACTTACTAGCTGTGTGACCCTGGGCGAGTCACATTACCCCACTGCCTGGCCAAAAAAGGAAAAAAAAATAAAATAACATCATGGAGATAAGCAAGGCTTTTAGTTTCAGATTCCCAGAAATATTTAAAGTATTGTTAGCATGAATTCTTTCTGCAGTGTTTTTGTAGGTTAAAAAATATATAGATCATAGAATTTTTTAAATTTTTAATTGAATTTTAAATTTTTGTACCAATTGATACAAACTTTTTTTTTGTTGTTACAAATCCCACTTAGCACAAGTTCCTTTCTGAACTTAATACTAAGACTGGTAACAATTCAAAGAGAATGACTTGGAGTACTTTTTGTTTTGTTTTTTGGTGAAGACACAGTCTAGCTGCAGGATTCTTCCTCCTTAAAATACGTAATGGTGTATAATGTGGGACTGGGATAAGGTGAAGCTCCCATGTGTTTGTGCCAGAAATTTGTACTTTATCACACCCTGAATTGTCAGGTGTTGAGACATTAATAAACAGATGAGTAGCAGCTTTTTGATAGCCTAATTTTTTCCCTCAATTCAGTCATTTCAGATTCTTTTTGCTTTTTTCAATTACGGTTGTTACCTGATAATACTGTGATCTTTTTGCCCCCAAAATAGAACCTTCCCTTGTAACAAAGGAAAACAGTTAAGTCAATCCAACAAGCACAATGAAAGCATCTTTAGTATATGCAAACCAGCCAGCTTCCTGAAGGGATCTGTTAGTGTATGCAAAATTCTCTACCAAGAGGGGGATACATATGTTCCTTCAATTATCTTTCAGAAGCAATATTTAGCATTGCCTTTAATCCAAGTTCAGTTGCATTGGCCTGATAGTTAGAATTAGTGAGCACATGGTTTTCCTGAAGGTGCCAAGAGGCTGATGGGATGACCAGTCTGACCTGTGAAATAGAGAAAAATACAAAATGGCTCTTAGTCCTGTGTGGTCTAGGCAGAGCAATACAAAGGAGAGCAGAAAGGGCAGACACTCACATAGTTTTTAGACTAGCAATATTAATTTAATTATGGGTGTCCTAAGATCCTTGTTCATTCATCAGAGAACTGATCAGACTACTGGGGGGAACTGAACCTTGTCAATATTTGTATTCTTGTCTTCAGCCGAAACCAAAATACACAAGAAGTTGCAACTAAATTTTTTTTTAAATGGTTCCTTGAAAGAACAAATAAACGTTTCATTGTGTACACAAATGCAGCAAGAAACAATGTTTCAGGGCAGCTAGGTGGCTCAGTGAATAGAGCTCTGGCCCTGGAGTCAGGGGGACTTGAGTTCAAATGCAGCCTCAGACACTTTTAACACTTACTGGCTGTGTGGCCCTGGGCAAGTCACTTAACCCCGATCACCTCACCAAAGAAAGCCAGAAAGAAAAGAAAAGAAACAACAGTTCATGAGACACTTAACTATCTCCCCCTTGGAGTTCTTGTGAATAGCATAAACAAGAAGACCAATGGACAGATATTTGGAGTTTGTGTATTAATGGTTAGTGAAGTGGATGAAGAAGCAGAGATGTTTTATGAAAAACTCACCGAGATCCTCTAATCTATTCAACATATGCTTTGACATTGACTTTAACGAGGTAATAGACAGAAGAAAAGAGTGAGAAAGTAAATTGTGGAATTAGGAAATGAAAGCAGTCAAAGGCTGGTAGACTATACTAAAGTTCCATGCCTCTATATTATGAATACTTTATTTTAAAAAGAGAGTTAGAAGGCATTCCACATGGTAAGCACCCAACATAACAAAAAATAAAAGCATATATTAACAGACAGAAAATGACTGGTAGTCAGTGGGATAATTAGCTGTTGGCTTACAGTCTAAGAGCTAGTTAGAGCAAAAGTCAAAATCAACACCAAACCTAGAAGACAGAGTAAAGATAAGAAGTTATACCAGCTCCAATACTACTTACTCAAATAAGTGATTGGTACTCCCAAATGGGAAATGGACAAAGAAAAAACAATGACTCTGATTATCACAGTTTGTTATAGAAGTTTTAACTGATATAAGACATTTTCTACAGTAAGGAGACAAATTTTGCAAAAATTATCTCAGCCACAAAACACTTGATTTCTTTGCAAAGTGGAAAGATATGACAGCCAAGGATAATATCACTTTATAACATAAACTTAATTGTCAAATAATAAAAATCTTACAGAAAAAGACAGTTGGAGATAACCATCAACATTACCTTACCAAAACATGAAGAGTTTTGGAGGGAAAAACAATATCTTTGAAAAACTTGTTATGAGACTCAGCTAAGCTAGATTGTTTCAAGAACATTTATAGTGGGCTAGTGGGAGAAGTATAATGAATAGGCAAATAATAGAACTGCCAGCATTTCTATAGAATCCTGTGGAGCTATGCATGATGAATTTCATTTGGGTACAGCATGTTACCAAAGATGACCTACATGCAAAAAGTGGCATAGAAAGATATCCAAGATATGTATAACCAAAAAGGAAGGGAGCAGTCAGGCCGTGAGAGCTAGAGGTAACATATGGACAGGCTGAGTGATGCCAAGATACTACAGAATGAGGAAAGCCCTCAGCATGCTGGGTAGCTCATTATAGGGGATTTCTAGAAGGACATAAGAAAAAATAACAAGATGACAAAAGATAATGGGTTTGTGGTTTGCCTCCATGATTGGTTTATCCAGAGCAATGAGATGATGGAATTAGTAAAGGACTGGAGAATAAACACTCCTATAAAAAGCAATCACTTCATCTAAAGCTTGGAAACAACTTACTAGAATCACAGATCTTAGAGATGATATGGATCTCTTTAGCTCATCTAGTTTTGTCCCGTGCTTTCAAGCAGTTAACATATTATTAACAAGCAAGCAAAAGGAATTTATTAAGCACCTAATATGTGCCAGGCAGTGGGCTAAGCACTATGGATACAAAGAAGGGCACAAATGCAGCCCCATTATGTAGATGAGGCAACCCAAAACTGTGGAGCTTGGATGACTTGGCCAAGGACAGAGGTTTTTCAGAGATTAACTAATTAGGAGCAAGTTGTTAGAAGAAGAAAGTTAACGAGCTGTTGTTGGTGTGATATTCATGGCCTAGGCAGGATGGGGAACTTTCAACCTCAAGGCCACATGTGGCCCTCTAAGTCCTCAGGAGTAGCCCTTTGACCAAATCCAGACCTCACAGAACAAACCCACATGTGGCCCTCTAGGTCCTGAAATTCCACTCTTTGACTGAATCCAAACTTCACAGAACAAATCCAGGGCCTGAAAGTCCTGAAAGTCCACACTTGAGGACCTAGAGGGCCATATGTGGCCTCGAGGCCACAGGTTCCCCACCCCTGGCCTAGAGAAAGAAAAATAAAGGAATAAAAACAGAGAGGCATCACTGGGTAGTGGAAAGATCACTGGACTTGGATTCAGGAAAAGTGGGCTCAGTTTTCAGTTCTACCAACTAATTAGTTGTATGATGTTGGGCAAGTCACTTTATTTCTCTTGGTCTTGATTGTCCCATCTGTAAATGATTTTTGGCAATACCACAGTTCAGATCTGTCCTAGTACACAGGCAAATGACAAGTTTTCCTTCCTCAAAGGAAGGTTTATCAAAGCATTGAAATATTTGAAATGCATCTCATAGTCTTAAGAGAAAGGGGGAGCACCTGAATAATGGTTGTGTTTGTCAGTCTCTTCTTCCATTCCACACAGGAAAAAAGTTAATATGGAGAAACAGAAACCTGCCAGCCATTCAGTTCAGTTAAATTATTGTACCCAGTGCCTGACTGCAACAGCACTGGTAAGCCAATTTTTGCCTTGGGGAAGGGAGAGTTTAGGAGGAGGGGAAGAGGCTGATGAATAAAAGGGACAAGCGGGTGGAGATGCCACGTAAGAATCAGGGAGGTAGCAAAGAAAAAACCATCCTGATTTACCTTTGAGAGTCACTTAGAGACATGGGTTCAAATTTAACTCTTACTAGCTGAGTGACTCTGGGTAAGTCACATGTTTCTAAGGCTCAGTTTCATCAAATGGAGGCATAATACCTAAAATATTAGTGTCCATTGACCATATTACTTAGCTCAGCTTTATCAGAGAAGATCAAGTGAGATAATGTACATGAAGTGCTCTGTAAATCTCAATGAATTATATAAATGCTGTCTGGAAGTAATCCATTATTTCCCAATTTAGAAACACAGAAATTAGGATGTGCTGAATAGGAAAATAGGAATGGTTCAAAACATCGATACCCTATCCCTCAAAGTTGAATTTATTTATTTCAACTAAAATTTTTTTTAAATTATGAGATTTAATTTTTGTGTTTTGTTTTTCATCATTTCCTCTAATTTATGACTAATTAAGAATTTAATGAGGCAGCTAAGTGGCACAGTGAATAGAGTGCTGATCCTGGAGTCAGAAAGACTTGAGTTCAAATCCAGCCTCAGATACTTAATAACTGTGTGACCTTGGACAAGTCACTTACTGCTGCTTGCCTCAGTTTCTTCATCTGTAAAATGGGGATAATATTAGCACCTACCTCCTGAAGGTTATTAAGTAAGGCTCAAATGATATAATAATTGTGAAGCACTTAGTAGAATACTTGGCACTATATAAATGTTAGCTTTTATTATTTTATTTATTTTATTATTAAGAACTTACCACTTCAAGCACTGCACAAATGTTAGCTATTATTGCTATTATTAATAGTATTATCATTATTAAGAATTTACTCCCTCTCTATATCTTCTAGTACAAAAGTTGGGCTTTGAGGGCTGGAATTGGAGAAAAAAAAGCAGACATTATTTTGCTATGATTTCCAGTGTATTCGTAACACTGGTGTTGGTGTAGAGTGCTGCAGGCTATTCAGTAGACTTTCATTGTACATAGCTAACATTTATCTAGTGTTTATAGTTTTACAAAGTACTTTCATATATGATATCTCATTTGTTCCCCCAAACTATCCCTATGAGAGGGGGTTCCAAAAGGTATTGTTGCCAATTTGACAGATCAGAAAGCTGAGGTCCAGATAAGTTACAACTTGCCTGAAGTCACATAAAAATGGCAAGTAACTTTGGAATTTGAGGGATTTGAGCATAATTTCTGGGATGTAACTCGATCCACCTAAAATCATAGAACTTGAAAAGACTTTGGTGATGATACAATTTGAATTTACAAGGGATCCTAGAAATATCATCGCGTCTAAATCTCTTTCTCTAGATGAAAAAACTAAGGCCTAGGGAAGGCAAGAAATTTGACCAAAGTCAAATAGGTAGCAAGTGGCAGCATCAGGATTCTTCTTTAGGCAGAAGGCCTTGGGATTATCCCCTCGCAGGTATAGTTACTGTGTCTTTCTTTTAGTGAAGACCAGGACCAAATTCACTTTTCTGACCATCATGTCACAGTGTTGACCCATGTTGAGCTTGTAGTCCACCAAAGCCCTCAACTCTTTTATATAGCTATCTTATCACTTGTTTTTCTCTTCTTTTTTTAACTCTAGTATTATCGGCATTTTAAGAACATTATGTCAGAATTTTTCCAGTCGCTGCATGTATGGCAGAGGACCCTCAAGATCATTGGCAGCAAATTTGGAACAAGCGTACTTTCCTACTTCAGTTTCCTGACATGGCTCCTCAAGTTTAACATTTTTTCATTTATTGTGAACTTTGGTTTCATCGTCATCCCTCAGCTTACAGATCCTAAGCCAAACAATGTTTCCTTCACTGGTCTGGAGCTTCTCACTGGAGCAGTATGTATTTGATAGCATTCTGATTTCTAAGCTGTGTGTTTGGTGGTATGGTCAAACCTAGACATCATACATTTTTATCCCATGAGCCTAAATCCAAACAAACGTGACAGATTTTTGTGATTCCAAATGTGACAACTGGATGACTCCCTAGAGAAATGCACATGGAAGAGTATGAGGCAGGGAGTAGAATAGGAATTCCAATTGAGTTTCACCTAACCCTAAAGTTAGATTAAAACATGGAAGTCATAGTGTCTGCTTCCATAAGCAGCCCTGTTTTTTTTCTTAGGAATTGTTGAGAAATAGTAACTTTGTCACTAGTCCTACTACATGAAGTCCTTTTTCTCACTTCGAGTCATTGGATGAATTAGGGGGAGTCTCTCTTCTTACACTCTCCTTTCTTGCTTGTCTTCTAAAAACAATGTTAGACTATCATGCCGAGTGGGAAGAGAATCAAATGTAGAGTTAGATAGATAGATAGATAGATAGATAGATAGATAGATAGATAGATAGATAGACAGACAGACATATAGATATATACCTATGTACTCACACATGTATGTGCATGTATTATTGTGTGTATGTATTTGCATTCTGTTTTGGGGTAGCACCATTGTTCTCCCTTAGAATATCTTCTTTTCTCCTTTTTTTTAACTTGATATTTTATCAAGGCTTAGCTGAAGCTCCACCCCCACCATAAAACTGTTCTTAATCCCTCCAGTTGATAGTAATCAGTCTCTTCCTCCTTTAACGTTTTTTTGTCTGTACTGCTTTTTTGGAGTTAAAATTTTTTTTAACTTTTTACATATATATGTATTGTTTCTTCCACTAGATTATAAATGCCTTGAGACCAGAGACTACTTATTATGCTCCTTTGCATTTCTCACTTACTTAGGAGAGAATAGAAGTTCAATAAATAGATGCTGAAATATATAGGTCTCAGGAATATGAGAAAATATCAATACAATGTCTCCCAATAGTTCAACACTTTTTTTGATAATTACTTTTAAAAGCAAAAAATAAATTGATGGCAAATAAATAAAAGCACAAATTAAGCAAAATAAAATTCAATTGCCAGCCAGGTAAATAAATGAATAAATGAAAGCAATGTTAGAATTGAACCATCTAAGCCAGAGAAACTCATGTGCTTAGAGATTAAAAACTTCACACGGAAGTCCCTTCTTTGCTAGTTATTCATGACTTGGCTCCTTCTCATTTTTCTGAGAAAGCTATTAAAGACACATGTTAGGATGCATTCTGCCTGATGTATTCCACATTAACGTCTGGTCCCTCACCCTCTTTTCTCCTTTGTTGTGAATGTATGTGTCTCCTTATTTGCCAGTGGGTCCAGAGGAGGTATGCTTCATACTTTGTGTGGCTAGGTGCATGTGGATACCCACTGACTAGTATGTGTTTGTGAGAGGACAAGAACTATTTGGACATGAGTAAAGAGTTCATTGAGTTATCTGAGGATGGTGACCACTGATAAGAATTAGCCTCAGTTTTGTGGTACAGTGGACTGAATGCTGGGAAGCCCTGTGTTTACATCGCCCCCAGCTCTGTGACTCTGGGCAATTTCTTAATCTCTCTGAAATTTAGTTTCCTAAACTATAAATTGGGGAATCATAATAGCACCTATCTTTCAGAGTTTTTGTGAGGATCAAATGAGATAATATTTATAAAATGCTTAGCATAGTGCTTAGACATACAGTAGGCACTTAATAAAGTTAAGTATAGTTCTGAGACTGTTTTTGCTGTTGTTCAGTTGTGTCTCACTCTTTGTGACCCCCATTTGGGATTTTCTTGGCAAAGATACTGGAGTGGTTTGCCATTTCCTTCTCCAGCTCATTTTACAAATGAGGAAACTGAGGCAAAGAGTGTTAACTGATTTGCTCAGGGTGACACAACTAAGTGTCTAAGGCTCTACCACTGTTTAACAGTAGAGGGAGCTATTAAAGAAAGAGACAGTGACTTTCCTCACTAATCTTCCCCAAAAGAGACTTAGACATATCATTTGAAGACATATTTCTTATTATAACTTCTTATCATAAAACAAGATCATAAACTTTTGGTAATATAACTTTGATTCCCCAATATGTGTTAGATCTTTCACATGTGTTTTTTTTTAAACTGTTTGTCAAATAAATGTATTTATTTATTCTTCATGCATTATTCCTCCCACTGCCTCTCCCCAATTGAACAACCAAAAAAGAAAAGAAAAAAGCCCCCCCATAAGCATTCATTGTCCAGCAGAACGAACTCTTACATTGGCCATACCCCAAAATGTAAATCTCTTCATTTTTAAGTTCATCACCTCTCTGGCAAAAGAGGAGTGTCATGTTTCATCTTCTGGTTTCTGGACTGGTGGCTTTTCATTGAATTGAGTACAGTTCCAAAGTCTTTCAAGGTTGTTTTTCTCTATCATGTTGTTGCTATAGTATATATATTTTTTTCTCCTAGTTGTGCTCATTTCATTCTGCAATCAATTCATAGAAATCTCCCCAGTTTTTTCTGAAATTGTCCATTTAATCATCTCTTAAGGCACATAAAATTCTATTACATTCATATACCACTATTTGTTTATCCATTTCCCAAAGGGACACACTCTTTGGGTTTCCACCTTTCAGTTGCTAGAAATATTTTCATATACAGATATACACAAAAATTTATCTATCCATATATAGATATATGTATGTATCTATATCTACCTATCTAAGTTCCTTTTCTCCTTCTTTGATTTCTTTGGGGTATGGTTGGGTCAAAGAACATTCACAGTTTAATGACTTCTGAGGCATAGTTCCAAATACCTCACTTGTTTTTGACAAACGTCTACATTTTGAGCCCTTACTAAGTATCTAGTCCTATATTAAGTGCTGTGGGAGTGGGTGGGTAGGGAAATATAAGAAAAATAAAAAATGCAGTCTTTGTCTTTAGAAACCATAAGGTACATATCTGAAGCAATTTAAAGATAATTATAAAGAAATAGAAAATATGTAATCATAGAGCACAGGCTTAATGTAGAAGTGTTGGGATAATAAAGAATGAAGCAATAAAGAAGTAATCAGCAAGAACTTCTTAGAGGAGGTGAACTTTGAGCTTATTATTTTTCTTACTCCCATACAGAAGCTTCTGCTCCGTCACTGGAATGAAACAGGAGCTTTGTAACCAACAAGAACCAAATGATAGTCCAACGCACTTAACATCTATTAGGGGAAAATTTCTTAGCCTATTCTCTAACTTAGTCAAGTCAAGTAAACAAGCATTCATTAAGTGCCTCCTATGTGCCAGGCACTGTGCTAAGTGTTGGGGAAAAAAAGAAAGGCAAAAAACAGATCCTGGTCTCAAGGAGGTCACAGTCTAATGGGGATTTGGCTTGACTTAATTATACTTGACAAATAATTTTCTTCATGTGGAATGGAATCAGGGGAAGATCAAGTTCCTAAAGTTTGTTCACCATAGCACCTAAATGTTTATATCTTCAGAGATGACTAGATTCCTTTCTAGCCAACGTTTCACAGCGACAAAGGTTTCTCTAGATTTGGGAGCAATAGAGGGTGGGAGAGGCTGGACATTTAAAAAACTCAGTTGCCCAGTTTCCTACCAAACTGAAAATAACCAATCCAAACTACTCAGTTCATTTGTTTATTCTCCAGAGAAGTGGTTTGACTCAGAATTCACTGTATCATTTCAGGATTCTTTTCTTTCATTTCAGGGCTCTTTTCAACAAACAGTGCTGTATTATGGGTTTTATTCCAATTCAACTATCAAGCACAAAGGAAGCAACACCTCTTACAACATGCAGCTGGCATATATTTTCACGATCGGACTATACTTGGTCATCTGCTTCTTTTCCTTACTCTATAGGTATGGAGTTCTGCATCTTTATGTTCAAAGCTTTCTCTCACACTTGGATAAAATTCAGCAGCTCATCATTAACTAGGATGTCTAAGATGTGTGCTACGAACCACTCTCAATAGCCTAGAACTTAAAATGCAAGTTCAGAGTAAAGAAATAAAAAGTTTCACTATTTTTTTCACATCTTGTTTTTACCCTTTGGGTTTTTAAAAATATTTTATTCATTTTTAGTATATTCTTCCCACTCCTTTTCCTGCTTTAAAATATTAATACAAATATTTTCTTTTTGTTTTTCTTTTTCTTTTAGGCAATTGGGGTTAAGTGACTTGCTCAGGGTCACACAGCTAGTAAGTGTCAAGTGTTTGGTCACAGGCCGGATTTGAACTCAGGTTCTCCTGACTTCAGGACTCTGGTGCTCTATCCACTGTGTCACCTAGCTTCCCCAATACAAATATTTTCAAAGAAAAAAAAGCAGTATGGCAAAACTAACCAACAGATATCAAGCATTGATTTTTTTTTAATCCCACTTCCCACTATCCACAGGAAAAGAAAAAAGATACAAAGAAAGAAATATAGAACCTGTGTATCACATAAGCTCAGTCAAGCAAAATAAGTCCTTATTATTGGTCACTTCCAAAGTGTTTCTTATTTTGCATATTTGTCTATCAAATTTCACCAGTTGTTTTTTCTTTTTAATTGTTTTTCTTTTATTTTCGGTTCCAAATTCTTTTCCTCCCTTCAGCCCTTCCCCCACCCATTAAGATGGCAAGAAGTGCAATACCAATTTTACATATGAAGTTATGTAACATATATTTCCACATTAGCCATGTTGCCAAAAAAAAGCCTGAAAACTAAATAAAATGAAAAAAAATATGCTTCAATCTGCACTTAAAGTCTAACAGTTCTCTATCTAGAGTTAGATAGCATTTTTCATCATGAGTTCTTTGAAATTGTTGTGGATCATTGTATTGATCAGAGCACCTAAGTCTTTGATTATCATTACAATATTGCTGGTACTGTATAAATTGTTCTCCTGGTTCTGTTCACCTCACTTTACATGAGTTCATATAAATCTTCCTAGGTTTTTCTGAAACCATCCCCTTAATTTCTTACAGTATTCCACCACAATTGTATACCACAACTTGTTTAGCTGTTTCCCAGTTGATGAGCATCCCCTCAATTCTTTGCCATGAGAAAAATTGGTGCCATAAATATGTTTGCCCATGTGTTTATCTCTCTGGGATAAAGTTTCACCACTTGTTTCACCATTTTATTTGCCTTAGGGCAGCAGAGTGGGGATATACCAGAAAGAGGTCTATTTTGTGAGATTAGCTTAAGCAGTTGAACCTTTTTTTAAAAAAAGGTTTGCAAAGCACTTTCCTCCCAAATGTTTATGTGACCTTGGGCAGGTATTTTGACCTCTTTAGTCAGTTTTCTCATTTGCATAATGAGGGGGTTGGACTAGATAATTTCTGATGTCCCTACCAACTTGAAATCGTAGAAAGTAGTTATCCCAAGGTGTACTATGATTTCATCAGTGTGGTGAGTTCCTGGTATGGGAGCTGTGTCCATTAAAATAAATCTTAACATGTCCTTGACTTACTGAATCAATCCTAGAGAATTTCTTGAGGCACGCAGAGATTAAGTGACTTGCCCAGGGTCATATATCTAGTGTCTAAATTTGGATCTGAACCCTTCTTCCGAACTCCAAACTCAGTCCTATATCTACTAAACCATGTTGGCACTATGAGGCAGGTAGTACAAGCATAATTATCTTTGTTTTACACATGAGGAAATAAAAGCTCAGAGAGGTTGTGACATACCCAGTGTACCATAACTACTAAATAAGAGAATCAAGACTCAAACCCAAACCAAGCAATGTTCTTTTCTTTACAATACATTGCAACTGGAGCTCTGCTATAAGGCTATTTTGGGGATGCACATGTAGTAGAATTTTGGGAGTACCCAAGAGGGTTGTTACTTTTCAGTTGGGGTTCTTTTAAATCAGGGTCAGATAATAGCAGTAAGTTGTCACTTAAAAGTGAAGCAATTAGCTATTTATTCTGGCTGGTTGGGGTAAATAGCAAGATGGATAGCATCTACCTTGAGCCTGAAATGAGTTTCCGAATTTTTAGGGCAGTATTCATAAATTAAAGAATATTCAAAGTAACATTGTGTGAAACAAAGAAAAGAAAGATAAGTATTCAAAAATACCAGGTGATTATGCAAAAAGAATAGTATGCTTGTTGGAGAAAAATGTATATTCTTACCTACAAGAGATAGATGAAGAAGTTACCATTGGAGTGTATACTTAATCTCACTAAATCAAAGAAGTCTGCCCATTGGGCCAGACAGGGAAGAGAGCTGTCCCAGGACTCTGGGATCCTCCACCTTCAGCAATTAAGTCTTTTTTGTACTGATAAGAGGTAAAAAGGAAACACTAAAGGACATTCGGGTCATTTACAGCAAGATGACCGATATAGAACAAGATGGAGTCAACCTGCCTTGGAGCAGGGCACTTTCTAAGGAGGGAGGGATCTATGTGTTACACAAACATGCCATGGAAGTTCATGGTATGATACCATGGGGTTTGGTAAGAAATAATGAGGTAGGGGAGATGAGGAGGCTCTCTGGAAGCTGCCAACCTCAGGAAACTTGTTGAAGTCAGTCCCTGGGGTTCATCTGGGGAGAGAAATTTTGTCCTCTTCTCCCACACATGCCATGGTACTAACTTGCAAAATAAACTTTATGATGAAATTTCTAGGATAATCCAGTACCAAAGGTGATTCTAAATTCTCATGGTATTTTGTTTATATCCCTTTGCATTTAGATATCCTCTGCTTTGCATTATAGTTGCACATGTGCCTGTCATCTCCCTCGTTAGACTATAATCTCCTTGAGGAGAGGAACTGTGATTTATTTATCATTGCAAAGCCCTCAGCTTGTACATAGGTTTTTCAATAAATATTGAATCGGATTGAACCAAATGTAATGGCAATTGGTACACTTCCTTTCCCCTGATAGATGTACACGTCTATTTTGTGACTTTACTTATATATCTAAAACAACTATCCTGGGGGATCCTGCTAATTAAAGTGGCTTCCCACCTTTTAGAATTGAAAAAAAAAAGTAGTCAACCCTAAGATGAAAGCATCATTAAAGAAATGCTGTTATTCTTTTCAGGGTAAGAGACTTGGAAATAATACCTTCACCTGAGCTCTTTGATATATATATATATGTATGTGTGTGTGTGTGTGTGTGTGTGTGTGTGTGTGTGTGTGTGTATGTGTATAAATTTTTTTTCATCTGGGTTTCCTATTCCTCCTACTACACTCCAGGATTTTGGTAGAGCTGGATGTATTGTTTTTGCCTCTCATAGCATGGCCTGTTCTTTCCGGAATAACTTCATTAACCCTCACGTCTACTCCAGAGGGACTGCTAAACTTGTCTTTTCCTGGGACTTCACCATCACTTGTGAGAAAGCTGTGAAGCTAAAGCAAAGAAACCTTATCATAGAACTCAAGGTATAGTTAAGACTTGCTAAGCACATCTTCCCTCCTTCCACCTCTCATCTGTCTAACTTTTCCTCTGTGATGTCTTATGAGTTAGCCTTGGGCTCCGTGGTATTGATGGGTTGCCAGTAGCTTTTACAACCATCCTGCTCCATTCTTATGATTTTTAATGGACTTGTACAAAAGTGGCTTAGTATTTCTTGTTTTTTGTTGTTAAGTCATTTTTCAGTCTTCTCCAACTCTACATGACCCTATTTGGGGTTTTCTTGGGAAGGATACTGCAGTGGTTTGCCATTTCTTTCTCCAGCTCATTTTATAGATGAGAAACAGAGGCAAACAAGGTTAAGCGACTTACTCAGGGTCTCACAGCTAGTAAATAATCTAGGGCCAGATTTGAACTCATGAAGATGAGTCTTTCTGGTTCCAAGACCACTGCTCCACTGCATCACTTAGCACAGTTTAAAACACCTTTAATTCTCTGTACTGCCTGTGGGTGATAGTAGCTAAGACTCAGACAGCTACCAACTCATTTTCTTGTGATCAGGAAGATAAAAACAACATTATTTAAGATGTCCATCCTATCTTCTGACCAGGTCTCAAATACTCAGTTGTATGAAAAATGCTAATTTAGATGTGTCTTCCCCCAAAAACAGGTAGCAACACATCCATGGCTGCCTAACCAGATTATAAAAGAAAAATACCTCATCCATAAAAGACAGTAGGCTATTATAGACTAAAACAAGAGATTTAAAAAAGAGACTGTGAAATTCTCTTATACACATTGGCTCTACAAACTGAAATGCTCCTTACTCCACATTTGACTTAGATATTTAAGTTTAGATTCATATCTGGACATGCTGCCCAAACAGCCCTTTTATCATAGGGGATTCCATTGACAGAGACATCTGCATTCTTCCATCTACTTTGCCCTTCCTAAAGTTTAAATTTAGATGTCCATAGCTGAAGTTTACAACTCTAGATGGGGTTTGGGTGATGAGAAGAAAGGGTAGATTTGGAGGTGATATTTTAGAATGTTACCCAGGATACTCCACCTATGATTTTAGGTTATAGCAGAAGTGGTTTGGACAGGTTGGGAAGTGATTGGCATGAGATTTAAATTCTCCAAGAAATACTTGGATTTCTTTAAAAAAGAAATTATTTAAGGTTGATAACCGTTAATAAAGATGATCAGATAACAACATAAGGAATAAAAAAAATCATGGAAATATAAACTCCAAACTCTGTATAATATTCCAAAAGGAAAATAATATATTTATGATATTTTAATGACTAATATAATCATTATTTCTATGGTTTCTTCTAATCTCTTTTTCATCTGCACACTTATTAGGTTGTGCTGTTATTTTCATATCAACATAGTATATATATTGCTATTATTTCTTCTTTTCTGGGCATTTTCATGTTTATTTTCTTCATATATGTTGAAAAGCTTTCATTTCCTTCTTTGGACCTATAGTTTCATGTATAGTCCTCTTTTTTCTGTTCTGCTATTTATATAGAAATGCTTATTTTATTTTTTTTTAAAACGTTCAGACAAAATTTTTTAAAAGAAAAAAGAAGCTTGGGAACATCTGTTGTGCTTTCACCCCATCCCTAACCCCCTTCTTAGATTCCCAGAACTGGAAAGAACATTAGAGATCATCTGATGCAAACTCCTTAATTTTATCTTACAATCCCTTCTCTCTTTTTTTTTTAATAATAAGCATTTATTTTCTCTCCCTTCCATCTCCCCCATGCCAATGAAAAAAAAAGAAAATAAAGAAAAAAACTTGTAACAAATATACATAGTCAAACCAAACAAATTCCCATATTGGTCATGTCCAAAAATGTGTGTCTTGTTCTGCCTCTTGAATACAACACCTCACTGTCTCAGGGAGCATGTCTTGTTTTTTCTGTTTGCAACCCTAGCACTTAGCACAGTACGTGCAAGGACTATGCTTCATAAATGCTTTGTCATTTTTTATAAGTTTGTATTGATATTTTTTGTTTCTTCTATCACTATAGTTATCCCAAATATCCTTTTCATTTATTTTTGCATACCTTTTCAAACATACCTATGTGGGAATTTGTTTTGTCAAACTATGTAGAAATATATTAAGAAATTTTAAAAAATTAATGTATGGGGGGGATTGCAAGGGATAGATTGATTTTTTTAAAATGTTACTTTAAATTTTTAAAAAGTTTTTTTTAAGTAATTATTCATTTTTTTTCCTTTTTCTCCCCTTCTGCCATGCTTTGTAATTTAATCATTCCCTTCCCAATCTTTATTCTCTGAGCACAACATCTGACTCTTTTGCTCCCCTTAGCTTATTTGGTTTCTGGAAAACTGTTCCCTCTTGTCCTGCCTCTGGATGTGGGGATGACTTGTCTCTTGGGAAGGCTGGGGGGGTGGCAGTACATTGTTTGTTGCTAACATGGTAGGAGCATTAATGGATCACCTGAAAAATTCCTTCTGGTTGCAGGAGAATCTGTCAGAAATCCGGCTTGAGAATGTGATTACACCTCTCAAGCAGAGGTTATCTCGTCTTTGCATCCACCTGGCAGCCTGGATAGTTTCCACAGGGGTGGCTGTTGCCTGCTGTGCGGCTGTTTATTTCCTGGCTTCTAATAACATGAAGGTAATTCCTTAGAGGGGGAGAAGACAACACAAGATACAAGGAAGAGTTCCAGGCTAGGGATGAGGCCATTCTGGTTCTAATCCTGACTGTTCCTAGCTAGCTAAGTGAGTCTCTTAATTTCTTTATGTTTCAGTTTTCTGGCTTGTAAAATGAGGATAATAAGGCCAAGAATCATGGCACACACTTGTAATCCCTGCTTATGGTGGGACTGAAAATGGAGGATTGCAACAGCTCAGGAGTTCTGAGCTGCAGTGAGCTAAACCAATTAGTGTAGTGTCCATACTAGCCCCAGCACCAATATGGTGGGCCTTTTGAGTGGAGGGAGGAAGGGTACCTGACTGCCTAAGGAGGGGTCAGAGCTCCTATTTAGATCAGCAGTAGGGTAGATCAGTGAGTGCCTGCTTCATTTCCAGCCTGGGTGAGATAGGCAGACCCAGTCTCAAAAATACCAACCAGTTGGGATTAATAATAAGTACCTGCCCTACTGAATTCACAGAGCTGTTGTAAGGATCCAATAGGAGAGAGAGAGAGAGAAAGAGAATGAATGGATGAATGAAAAAGCATTTATTAAGTGCTTGCTATATGCCAATCTCTCCACTAAGTATTGGGGCTACAAATAGAAAAGTAAGATACACAGACCCTGTTCTTAAGGAGACCTGATACATATGGGGTTTCAGCAGAGAGTCATATAGAAAAGACCTGTGGTCTTTATGTGGTGTGAACACATAGTGAAAAGTATAAAACACTCACAATGCAAAGGATTATTATTATTAATAAAGACTCTCCCAACCCGTGTACTTCTGAAGAAGAAAAAGCTTATAAATCCCCAGGTTCTTGGGGCTGCCTCCATTACAGGTGATAAACGAGGGCCTATGGTTATGGGAAAAAAAAGTTTCATAGAGTTCTCATTTCATTCTTTCTAATCAAAACAGAGAAGGCACTGGCATTAAGGGAAAGTAGAAAAGGTTCCTGTACAAGGTAAGATTTTCATTGGGATTTGTGGGAGACCAAGGAAGCCAGGAGGTGGAGATGAGGAGAGCATTCCAAGCATGGGAGATAGCCAGAGAAAATGCCCAGAAAAAAAAGAAAAGCAAAGAAATGCCCAGAGCGGGTGGATGGAGTGTCTTGTTTTACTTTACACCCCCCTCCCAAGGTCTAAGAAGACTAGAAAGGTAGGAGAAGGCTAGGTTATGAAGGGCTTTGAACACCAACTGCAGGGTTTTATAGTTGATTCTGGAAATAATAGGGAAATACTGAAGTACAGTGGTGAAACAGTCACACCAACACTTTAGGAAGATCACTTTGGCAGCTGAGGAGAGGTGGACTGAAGTGAGAAGAGACTTGAAGCAAGCAGACCTGCTTCAAGCAGGCAATAGTGCAGTCATGAGGTTATGAGAGCTTGCACTAACATGGTGGTAGTGTTAGAGGAGAGAAGGGGGTATATATAGGAGATGTTCAAAAATAAAATTGACAGCCTTGCCAAAAGGTTGGATGTGGAGGATGAAAGATAGTGAGGAATTGAGAATTACACCTCAGTTGTGAGCTTAGGAGACTAAAAGTGATTAGTTTGAAAGTAATTGATTAAAAGTAATTACTTTTCTATTACTTAACAGTAATAGAGAAGTTAAGAAGAGGGGAGGGTTTGATAGGAAAGATAATAAGTTCAGCTCTGGACATTTAAAATTTAGATGTTCCCAGGACATCCATTTTTAGATATCTAATAGGCAATTGGAGATGCAAGACGGGAGGTCAGTAGAGAGGTTAGGGTTAGATAAGCAGATTTGAGAATTATCAGCAAAACAATGACAATTGAATCCATGAGCTGATGAGATCACCAAGTGAAATAGCATATAGACAGTGAAGAGAGCCTAGGACAGAGCACTGGAGGACACCACCATTAGTGGGTTTGCCTTTGATGAAGATCCACTAAAGGAGACTGAGAAGTGGTCAAATAGGTAGAAAGAGAACCAGTAGAGAGTAGTCTCATGAAAACCCAGAGAGAAGAGAATATCTTGAAAAAAATGATTTACTGTGTCAAAGGCTGAAGAGAGGTCAAGAAGAATGAAGACTGAGAAAAGACTGTAAGATATGGCAATTTAGAGATCATTGGTAACTTTGGAGAGATAATTTAGTTGAATGATAAATTTGCCAGCCTGAAGAGAGTAATAGATTGTACGTGGGAGGTACCTATTGTAGATAGCCTTCTCAAGGAGTTTAGCCACAGAAAGGAAGAGAGATATGGGATGATAGCTCATGATGGACAGATCCAGTGAATGTTTTTGAGACAGGGATATATGTAGGCAATAGGAAACGGTCAGTAGACAATGAGAGATTGAAGATAAATGCAAGAGTGGGGGGTGACAGAGGGGACTGTCTGTGGGAAATTTTGGGGTACAATGGGATCACTTGTACTTGTGAAGGAGTTATATCACCTTCTGATGTGAGACAAACATGAACGAGGAGATAGTGGCAGAAGGCATCTGTAAGAGGAGAGAAGAGGGAACTCAGAATCAATGGTTTCAGTTTTTTTAGTGAACTATGAAGCAAGGTTCTCAACTGAGAGGTGAGGAGGAGGGGGAGCTAGGGGAGATTTGAGGAGAGTTAAACATTTTTTGGAAGAGCAGCTATGGAGAGTGGGTTAATCAATTAAAGAGGTGTTAAAGGATTGCCTTGCCTGGTGAGGGCCAAGTTGAGATTATGTAACATAGATTTGCAATGGAGCCAGTCAGCATGATTTTGTGATTTTCTCTGGCTTCAATTAGCAGCACATAAAGGGCAAAGACAGCATAATAGGAGTAATTCAGTACTGAGGCTTGGCAGGGAAAGATCTTTGATAGGATAAGAGGGTGAGGGATTTAAAAGGAGAGGATGGTATAGACTAGAAGTGGCTCACCACAGTGGGAAAGGGGAGGAGAGCATAGCCAGTGTAGTGGTGATAGCCTGGAAAAGAACTAAGGGTTCAAGGGTATTCAAGGTCATGGTGAAGAAAAAGAGCAGGATTTAACATTATAAGGCAGAGGGAGAGGTGGCATGATGACAGATTGGACTAGTTAAGAGAATTTTGGAATTCATAAACATGGAAGTGGAGCATTTGAACGTGGTGGCAAGATCAAGGGTAAGGCCATCTCTGTAGTGGTGTGCAGATGTTAACAAGTTGAAGAACTGGTAGGTTAGGGGTTTGAGGGAGCATCCCTATGTATATTGAAATCCCTAGCATGAGAACAGGAATTGGGAAGGAGAGAAAAACTGTGAGCATGGCACTGAACTCAACTGACAAAAGAAGGGGAGTTTTGGAAGTCAGTAGATGATGGTTACCAGGATTTTGGTTGGGTGGTAGATTTGGATTGTGTAAACTTCAAAGGAGAAGTGATTACTGGATGATGGAGAGTAGAGGCAGAGCATGGAAGTGGCACTGGGGAATAAGGCAAATTTCAACTCCCCTACCTTGACCAATGAGTGAGAGAATAAATGAAAATGCAACCCATTGCTGGAAAGGGTGGCCAGGGAAGCTGTGTCATCAGAAAGAACCCAAGTCTCAGTGAGAGGCAGAAGATGAAAAGAATAGGAAAGGAAGAGATGGAAGATGAAAGCAAATTTGCTACCTACGGAGCAAGTGTTCCAAAGAACACAATATAAGGGATGTTTAGCTTTAGAGTGGGATATTTTCAGGGTTGGGTTGTGAGGAATAGGAATGGGAGATGGAGAGCAACGTTTGAATAAGGACAAGGGGTATCACTGAGAAGGGGAGGGTATGACTGAGTGGGATTTCTTTAATCATTGATGAATGAGTTCAGATGGGTTATTAACCCACTCACCATCAATTAATAAGCATTTATTAAAGCATGTATGCCAGGCACAGTGCTAGGTGATGATATTACAAACGCAAAAAACTGAAACCGTCTCTGCCCTTAAGGAGTTTATATTCTATATAGAAAAGCAACAGGTACAACACAAAACCCTTCTACTCAATCCCAGGTGTAATTCATTACCAATTCTCAAGACCCAAAAGACTACCAGAGTAGCTCCCTTGCCCTACATTCATGCTTTATACAACCAGCCATCTATCAGCCAGCCATGGCAGAGGTCACTTTAACAATGAATTCATTCAGGCAACACCCTGAAGCTATTTAAAAGGTAAGGCTTGAAACAGGATCTATTTGCTCACTCACTGTTCACCATAGAAATTGCAGGGAGGTGTTGACTGGAGAGCCAAAAGTGTTCTTTAATGGGGCTGAAAGAAAACATGTTTTGTAATGGTATCCTCTGGAAAGGGCGAGGGTGTCAGGAAAGAAGAGGAGAAACTTGTCGATCCTGTTGTTGGCTCTGGCCACTGCTAAGAGTCATGAGTATATTTAGGGAAGGAAACAAGCATTTATATAGTGCCTACTATGTGTCAGGCACTGTACTAAGCACTTTATTATTATAAATATTATCTCATTTGCTTCTCACAACAACCGTGGGAAGTAGGTGCTATCATGATTCCCATTTTAGAGATAAGGAAACTGAGGCAGATAGAAATTAAGTGATTTACCCAGTATTGCACAGAAAGTAAGTGTCTGAGGCTGGATTTAAACTCAGGTCTTCCTGACTCCAGGCCCACGACTCTATCCACTGCACCGATTAGCAGCCTCTATATTTTTGCTGCTAGATAGAATGTTTTCTTGAAAAGGAATAGACAGCATGAAAGAACATAGTGCTTTGTACCAAGAATGTACCTGTGAATGTGAATTGAATTGAAAATTAAATCAGGAGATGTGACTTCTAGTCCTGTTTTGCTGCTAAATAGCTATGTGACTTCAAGCAACTTCTTGGCCTCAGTTTCTTTCTCTGTAAAAATAAAGGGGTTGAGCTAGATGATCGCCAAAGTCCTTTCCTTTCTATCTCTAACATCCTATGACCCTGAGAATCTTTGATTTTATGAGTATGTGTGTTTAAATAAGGCAAATCCATTCGCTACTCCCCTCTAATACTATTCATGATTTTCCCGCTACTTTAGTGCAGCGTTTCTCAAATGGTGCTGAAAGGAACCCTGAAACACCCTGTTATTTTTTAAAAAATGAATCTTATATTGTTTGTTAATAGGCATTAAAATAACAATTTTAAAGGATTTTTACCACAAAGGTTCTGCCAAAGTTTCATTTAAACTGAAGAGTTCAACCATTATGGGAAAGTTGAAGAGCCACTGGTTTGGTGGACAAGGTTCAGGACTGGGAGTTGGGAATTGTTCAGTCATTCAGTCCTATCCAAATCTTCTTGACCTCATGGATACCAATACCATCCATAGGGTTTTCTTGGCAAAGATAATGGAATGGTTTGCCATTTCCACCTCCAGTAGATTAAGGCAAACAGAGGTTAAATGACTTGCCCTATAAATCTATAGAATGAGATGGAACTTTAAAATTTTTATTTTTTTATTTTCAAGTACATGTAAACAAAAACTTTTTAACATTTTTTAAAATTTTGAGTTCCAAATTCTCTCCTACCCTTCCTCCTTCCCCTTCCTTGAGAAGGCAAACAATTTAATATAGATTGTACATGTATAGTCATGCAAAATATTTCCATATTAACCATGTTGCAAAATAAAATACAGACAAAAAAAAATAATAGAGAAAAATTTTAAAGCATGCTTTGATCTCCAGTCATACCAGCTCTGGAGGCGGATAGCATTTTTCATCATGAGTCCTTCAGAATTATCTTACATCATTGTGTTGTTGAGAATAGCTAAGTCATTCTCAATTGATCATCACACACCATTGCTATTACTGTGTACAATGTTCTCCTGGTTCTGCTCATTTGAGGAGACAGGACTTGAACTGTAAGTTTCCTTCTAGCTCTGTAACTTCATGGTTCCCAGAGGGCAGAAATACGAACAATAGGTGGTGGTTACAGAGAGATACATTTTGGTTTGATGTTAGGAAGAACTTAATAATTAGTACTCCCTAAAAGTATAATAGGTGGCATAGTGGATAGAGTACTGAGCCTAGAACTAGAAAGACTCCTCTTCATGAGTTCAAATCTAGCCTCAAATATATTCTAGCTGTGTGATCCTGGGCAAGTTATCTAACCCTGTTTGCCTCAGTTTCCTCATCTGTAAAATTAGCTGGAGAAGGAAATTTCAAACCACTCCAGTATCTCTGCCAAGAAAACTCCAAGGTCATCTGCCGTATCTGTCATCTTGACTTTTGTCCTGCCACTGGATTGGATAACTCAGGAAAATAGAGTGAGGCTGCAGACTTTGTGCAACTCTGCCTCACTTAAATCCAATTCATGTGCTAGTCAAGTCAAGACAGCACCATGATGTCAGTGGTCCTCTTTGAAATGAAGGGCAAACAACAACCAGGCCTATAGGTATGACTCATTAATCACTGCTACAGGTATTATCATAGGTGTATGTCTAGGGTGTGTCTAGGCACCCCTTAGTCAGGCAGCCCTTTCACAGTGGTGATGCTTACCATCATCTAGAGCCCTCCAGGATCTGGGGCATCTTTTCCAGGCTCCAGTCTCCTCCTCCTGATTCCTGCTCTCTTCTCCACATACTTCCCTTAAAGCTCTGGTGTGGGAGGCAATGCCTTGCCTCCATTTCCTCTTCTTTAAAACTGAGGATATTTATAGTTCTTACTTCATAAGGTTGTGAGGATCAAATAAGATAAATTAAGTATGGGGAAGCTAGGAGGCGCGATATATAGAGCTCCAGCCATGGAGTCAGGAGGATCTGAGTTCAAATCTGGCCTTAGACACTTGACACTTGTTAGCTGTGTGACCCTGGGCAAGTCACTTAACCCCAATTGCCTCACCAAAAGCACATAAAAAAAAGATAAATTAAGTGCATTGTGAACCTTAAACAGTTGTATAAATGTTAGCATTTCCTAGGATTTAGCCTCTGGGGGGCCTTCTTACCCTAGACTAGAGTGGTAAGGAGGGTGTAGTATAGATTGACTAGGCTGCTTTTTCTTGTTGCTTTGCCATGATAAGACTCAGCTGACTGAACCTCTGAATAATGATCCATTTCTTGATTTTTTTTTCCCTTCTTCTCTTGCCACAGTTTCTGAGAGAACACAAAAACCAGGCGGCCACTTTATTGCTACCTTTCCTGGTGTGTTGCATCAATCTCTTTGTACCACTATTTTACTCCTCCTTTGGATTGGTGGAAAAGTTTGAAATTCCTCGACATCAGGTCTTAGTTATCATTACCAGGTATGTCACAACTTCCTACCTTTGTGCTTAAAGATGCTGCTTACATTGAGCTGGGGTAGAGGGAAGGACTAGGGGATGATCTCAGGCCTGTGATCTTGCTTTTCCTGAAGGATGGAGAAGGGAGTCTTGGTAAACAATGATGAACCCAGCTCCCACCCCATTTTTCTAGAATAAGTCTCTAGATTCCTTAGGCTATAGAGATATTTGTCCTCCCCTTCAGTACAAAAGAGAACACCTCTTAGGTTAACTACCCAACCACCTGACTCTAATCTCTAAGTGAGTCAGGTAGATATGAAGTGGATAAAGTGCTGGGTCTGGAATCAAGGAGACCTGAGTTCAAATACAAACTCAGATATTTAGCTGTGCTGGACAAGTAGTCACTGAACCTCTGTCTGCCTCAGCTTCCTCAACTATAAAATAGTGATCATAATATCACCTACCTGCCAGAGTTTTGAGCATCAAATGACAATATTTGTAAAGCACTTAGTGCTTGGCACATAATAAGTGCCTAATAAGTACTTGTTTCCTTTCTTCCTAATAGAAAGAAAATGAAGAATTTGCTGGGGAATGGAAGAGTGGGGGAATGGAGAGGCCCTGATGAACTATTATTATTATAATTTAGCTATAGGTATGCTGGAATTGATTTGCCTTGAAACATGTTGGTAGAGCAGGCCCTATCTAGATTACAACCATTTAGGAACTGATGATTAGAGACAGCTATTTAGTACAGCAGATAGAATACCCAGCCTGGAGTCAGGAATATTCATCTTCTTGAGTTTGCCCAGGTGACCCTGGGCAAATCCCTTAACCCTTCAATTTCAGTCTCAGTTTCCTCATCTGTAAAATGAGCTGGAGAAGGAAATGGCAAACCACTCTAGTATCTTTGCCAAGAAAACCCCAAATGTGGCCATGGACTTAAAAATGACTGAATAACCAACGTGGGAATTGAGAAGTCCCAGGATTGTTCTTTCTTCCTACCCATTGAAGTTTCACAATTGTTCCATCTTTTTTTTTTAACTGGACCTGTGATTTTTATGATATAAGGAATTTTTAATAAAGAAATTCCTACTGTCAGTAAGGAACAACAGCTGCTCAGCGACTTATATAGTCTTAGAATTTTGCCCAAGATGCTGAGAGGTTGAATTGCTTGCTGCCTTTCATTCATTGATAGTGGTTTTCATATTGTGTAGTCTTTCTTTCTCACCCATAAGACCCAGGTTACTTGTCCCTTTGATCTCTCCAAGGGCAGAGGAACTAGAAACTGGCCAGTCTGTCAGTACTGACTTCCTAACATATCCACTTTAGGTCATTGGTATAATACAATGGCCGTTGTCCTCTTAGAACTGTGGGAGAATGGAGCATTCAGATCCAGAGTACTTACTTGAAATCATGGATGTGACCTAAGGGTTTAATTCCTTCACTTTACTTTAATATTTTACTTCTGTTAGCTGCTTGCCAAAATTCAATGGCTTCCTTAGGTCAAAAATAATTCGGAAAGATGCCCTTTTCTCCAAAGTTCTCAGAACTCTCTCTTTTTTTAAGATTTGACAAATTTTTATTGGTAAGTTTTATTTTAACATAGCAGACAAATATCAACATACAAACAAACCCAAAACAAAATATGTTTCTAAAAAATACTTAAGCCAGAGAACACAAAAGAGTTATTGTGATTGATTGTATGTGTCACCCTATATATTTATAATTAATCTATTTTTTCTTTTTTTGGCTAGGCAATGGGATTAAGTGACTTGCTCAGGGTCACACAGCTAGTAAGTGTCAAGTGTCTGAGGTCAGATTTGAATTCACATCCTCCTGACTCCAGGGCTGGTACTCTATCCACTGCATCACCTAGCTGCCCCCAATTTATCTATTTGTGGAAAGAGCCCTATGTGTTTTAGGCTGATAGTCAACCAACATTGATTAAGCATGTACTATGTGCAAAGAGGTAGGTGAACTTTATAATTAGACGGAATACCTCTAATTAGAGGGAACAGTGAGATCAATGAACTGTTGGACCCACTTCTGACAGGTATAGAAAGCAGTGAAAGAGCATGTTTCAAAAGGGGTAAAATGGTCGCTTTCTTTTTTATCATTTAGGAATATCTTTCTGAAAATATCCATCATTGGGATTCTTTGTTATTATTGGCTCAACTCTGTAGCGGTGTCGCAGGAAGAGGTGAGATTTCAGACTCTCTTGACTGATACTGCGTCTTGCTCTTAAGCCTTTCATGACCAGGCAGAGAATGAGCCTCCCAGCAGTTACATAAATCAACAAGCATTTATTAAGCACCTACTAGGTAGCAGGCACTGTGCTAAGAGAGGAGAATACAAAAAAAGGCAAAAAGAGTCCCTGGTCTCAAGGAGCTCACAGTCTAATGGGGGAGATAACATGCAAAGAACTATGTAGAAACAAGTCATACACAGGATAAATTGGAGATCACCTGAAAGGGAATGAAGGCATTAACATTAAGAGGCATAGAGGAAGATTTCTTGTAGGAGGTGGGACTTTAGTTGAGAAGGAAGTCTGGAAAGTCAGGAAGGGAAGAGGACTAGAGAGAGAGTGTGTGTGCAGTTATATTTCTTAGTCTTCCTTTTGACAATGAATTTGTAGAAGCAAATGTAACATTATCAGGGAAGAGAACAAATAATTCAGAATGTGGCAGGAGGTCAGCACGGTTCTAGAAAGAAAATGAATTGCCTTAACCAATAGCCCTGAGGAGATGGTCACCCCAGTGAAGAGAACTCTGTTTCTTGTTTTCCTCCTCTAATCTTCCTCATTCCAAGTCAACTCAAGGAAATATTTTTGTTTAGACTTTTCTCACTGAATTGCCACAAATCTTCAATAATCTACCCTAACTTAAGCTAAAAACAGCATAGATAATTTACTCATAATCCCCTAAATTAATTTTAACCACTTAACTATTTGATCAATATTCTTTCCACACCTTACCCCAGAGCTGCTTACAATTGATTGGAATTTCATCTTTCATTTCCCTTCTTCTGCAGGAGGTATTATTTAACCAGGTATTTTGGCCCATCTTGGGGAAGAAAGTGAGCTCAGGGACCTGTATAATTTTACAAAGTAGATAATCTACCCCAAGCCATTTTGGAGCTCCCTGTACTGAACTGTGTCATTGAAACTAGTTTATTAAGTGTTTTCTCCCTGTCTTCCTCCTCATCTCAAAATATGAGATGACTATAAATGAATGACAGAATGATTTTTTTTTTAACAAACACATTAGGACATATATCCAAATGAGAGCTGTCTCCTTTAAAGTAGATATCTTTACTTTATATATCTACAGATAGATAGGTAGATAGATAGGCTATATGGTTATGTCAACAAAGCTGCCATGCTCAAAAAAGTCTTTAGAACTTGATTGGAACTGCTTCTAGGACTCTTTTATGAGTCTTGCTAAGAGACCTATTTCATTAACGAAGACTAACTAATGCCCAAGGATTGCGGCAGAGTTGGGGCGGGGGGAAGAATTGCAAGAAGGTAGAATGATAGTCATCTGAGAAGACATAATGCTGAGTCAAGCTGACTCTGAGAGTACTTAGGCCAACAAGGTGGTTGGATACAGGAAGGCAGAAAGAACCAGTCCCTGAAATAACAGGGAAATGAGAGAGTTGGCTTTATATACAAGCCAAAATTTGCCTTGGGGCAAATTCTGACTAAATGCAAATTATGTAGGTCAGAAGAATGTTAGTCTTGTAGGGCTAGACTACTCTTATTTGCTGCTGTAGTAAACTATACATGACTTTTTGCCTCTTGTTTTAGAGCAGCTACCAGATTTAGCTTCTGATAGCTTTTGGCTGTTAAAAAAAAACAGTTGGGTGGCAGAGTCAAGATGGTGGAATAAAAGCAGCGACTTTCTTGAGCTCTCCCCAAACCCCTCCAAATACCTGTAAAAAATGACTCTAAACAAATTCTAGAGCAGCAGAACCCGCAAAAAGACAAAGTGAAACAAATTTCTAGCCCAACACAACCTGGCTGGTTGATCAGAAAGGTCTGGGCTGAGAGAGGAGCACAGTTGAACATGGGCTGTGCAGGCAGTGAATCTGGAACAGGCCTCAGGGAACTGAATCATGGGCAACTATGGTGGTTTCCAGACTTCTCAACCCACAAACACCAAAGACAACTTAGAAGGTCAGTAGGAAAAAATCTGTCAGACCTGGATGAGAGAAGAGCACAGTCTAGTCCTGGCCCTAGTGCAGCCCCAGGCCAGTTGCCAGAGGGGCAGCAGTTGCTTCCAGAGCTCTTAACCCACAGACAGTGGGGGAATCGAGTAGCTAATCAGAGGAGCATTGTAGGGATCTCTTTGCTGGCACTGAGGCAGGATTCTCTTGCTTTGCCCATGCTTGGATCTGGGTCGCAGTCCTGGGTGGCAGTCCTGGAGCAAGGAGGAGCCCTGAGCTTGTGGAAATGGTACAGAGAGAATCTTCCTCACAGTTCCAAGGCAGAAAAAAAGTGCTTGTGGTCACTCATAGACCAGAGTACAGGCCGGGAAAGGAGTAAACACCTCGCCCCTGATCATACCACCTTGAAAGAAATGAAAATTTACAGGTCCCTAGAAGTATCTTTCAAAACCCTTGAAGCTTGGGACAGTACACCCTCCACACTGGAATCAGAGCCCTACCTTAGCAAAGAGTTAAAAAGTCAAGTAGGGTTGGGGGCAGCTAGGTGAAGCAGTGGATAGAGCACTGGCCCTAGAGTCAGGAGGTCCTGAGTTCAAATCCAGCTTCAGACACTTGACACTTACTATCTGTGTGACCCTGGGCAAGTCACTTAACCCCATTATGTAGCCCCCGCACCCTCCCAAAAAAATTAAGTAATTGGCTGAGAACATGAGCAAACAGTAGAAAAAACTCAGACTCTAGAATTTTACTTTGGTGACAAAGAAGATCAAAGCATACAACCAGAAGACAACAAAGTCAAAGCTCCTACATCCAAAGCCTCCAAGAAAAATATGGATTGGTCTCAGGCCATGGAAGAGCTCAAAAAGGATGTTGAAAAGCAAGTAAGAGAAGCAGAGGAAAACTTGGGAAGACAAATGAGAATGATGCAAGAAAATCATGAAAACCAAGTCAACAGCTTGCTGAAGGAGACCCAAAAAAATACTGAAGATAACCCAAATGGCAAAAGAGGTCCAAAAAACCAATGAGGAGAATGCCTTAAAAAGCAGAATTTGCCAAATGGAAAAGGAGATCCCAAAGCTCACTTGAAGAAAAAATTCCTTAAAAATTAGAATGGAGCAAATGGAAGCTAATGACTCTATGAGAAGCCAACAAATTATAAAACAAAACCAAAAGAATGAAAAAGTAGAAGACAATGTGAAGTATTTCAATGGAAAAACAACTGATCTGGAAAATAGATGCAGGAGAAATAATTTTAAAATGATTGGACTACCTGAAAGCCATGATCAAAAAAAGAACCTAGACATCATCTTTCAAGAAATTATCAAGGAAAACTGCCCTGATAGTCTCAAACCAGAGGGTAAAATAGCAATGGAAAGAATTCCCTGACCACCTCCTGACTGAGATCCCAAAATGAAAACTTCTAGGAATATCATAGCCAAATTCCACACCTCCCAGGTCAAGGAGAAAATATTGCAAGCAGTCAGAAAGAAACAATTCAAGTATTGTGAAAACATAATCAGGATAACACAAGATTTATTAGCTTCTACATTAAGGGATCAGAGGGCTTGGAATATGATATTCCAGAGATCAGAGGAGCTAAGATTAAAACCAAGAATCACCTACCCAGCAAAACTGAATATAATCCTTCAGGGGAAAAAAATGACATTCAGTGAAGTAAAGGACTTTAAAGCATTCTTGATGAAAAGAACAGAGTTGAATAGAGAATTTGATTTGCAAATACAAGACTCAAGAGAAGCATGAAAAGGTAAACAGGAAAGAGAAATCATAAGGGACTTACTAAAGTTGAGCTGTTTACATTCCTACACAGAAAGATGATATTTGTAATTCATGAGACCTTTCTCATTGTTAGGGTAGTTGGAGGGAATATGTATAGATAGAGGGCACAGGGTGAGTTGAATATGAAGGGATGATATCTAAAAAATAAAATTAAGGGGTGAGAGAGGATTATACTGGGAGAAGGAGAAAGGGAAAGGTAGCATGGGGTAAATTATCTCACATAAAAGAAGCAAGAAAAAGCTTTTACAGTGGAAGGGAAGAGGCGGGAGTTGAGGGGGAATGAGTGAATCTTACTCTTATTGGATTTGGCTTAAGGAGGGAATGACATGCACACTCAATATGGAAATCTATCTTGCCTACAGGAAAATAAGGGGAAAGGAGATAAGAGAGGGGGAGATGATAGAAGGGAGGGAAGATTGGGAAGGGAGTAACCAGAAGAAAACATTTTGACAGGGTCAAAGGACAGAGTAGAATAAAGGTGGGGAGGGGCGGCATAGGATGGAGGAAAATATAGTTAGTCTTTCACAACATGACTGTTATGGAAATGCATGTATAACCTATATCAAATTGCTTGCCTTCTCAATAAGGGTAGGTCTGGAGGGAGGAAGGAAGAGAATTTGGAACTCAAAGTTTTAAATATGAATGTTAAAAATTGTTTTTACATGCAATTGGGAAATAATATATACAGGCAATGGGGTATAGAAATCTATCCTGCCCTATAGGAAAATAGAAAGCGAAGGGGATAGGAGGAGGGGGGTGATGGAAGGGAGGGCAGATTGGGGAAAGTGATATTCAGAATACAGGCCTCTTTGAGATAGAGGGAGTGGAGAGATGGGGAGAAAATTTGGAACTCAAAATCTTGTGGAAGTGAATATTGAAAACTAAAAATAAATTAATTAATAAGAAAATAGTAATACAACCTCAAAAGACACAGATTTGCCAAAATTGAAGATTCTTCAAAAGAATATGCCCAGATTCTCAAGACAGGTCCTAAGGTGGTCCCTTGTTCCTGGTGTATTTTGAACAATGGAATAAGTATGTGGTATGTCAAGGTGATTATTGCAAAAGAGATAGTACTTTTCTGGGTGTATAGGCTGTATTTGTTGTCAGGTTGTCCTGAAAGAAGAGAAGCCTTCATTTCCTGGAAGGCATTAAGGATAGATATAGAAGGCAAGTAGGGAAAGTATCGATGGAAGCACCCGGGAAAGACCTCCCTGTAATTCTCACCTTACTCTGAGTTGATGTAACAAAGTCCTCGTGTCAAAAATGGATATCATATGTGGGAGCTTTTATTTGTATTCCTCAGTTCCATTTAGTTACAGAAAGCAAGGCCCAAATGGGATTGATAGGACCTAAAATAGGTAAGATATGTGTGATTAGGGGCAGAGGAGAACAGCAATAGTTTTGGAGCATGGGGTTCTGCTGAGGAGGGGGGGCCTGGGTTGGGGAAGGATGGTACATGGAATATTGGAAAGAGGAAAGACAAGAAAAAAGTGGAAGGCCACTGAAGACAAACCTTGCTTTCTCCTCAATTTTCCTGAAGATTGGGGTACTATGAGGTTGTAAATTAGTGATTTCCATTTGTGTAAGAAAAGAGAAATTTGGAAGAACATTACTGAACACATTAACTCTTCGTTTGCTTTTTAGTGCTGGGAAACACTTATTGGCCAGGATATCTACCGACTCCTCATGATGAATTTTTTCTTTACTTTATTTGACTCCATTTTTGGAGAGTTTTTGAGAAGGTAAATCTGTTTCTCTTGTTGGAAATGGGAGGTAGAAATGGAAACCTTTTGTACAGAAATGAATCAGGAAGTAAATGCTTCCTTACATTCCTAAAAGCACATGCTGTTTGAAATCTTTACATTTCCCTTTTGTTTTTTCTCCTTCCCTCGTTAGTTAAATACATTTGCTTATTTGTTCCTACTTAATCTATTTCGTCACCCTGCTGCTATAAATGCATCACCGCAGGAAGTTTGTTACAATCATTGGTATGCTTGGACCAGCTCTAACTGACTTTCAGATTCAATTGTCATATTTTCGATGTGAACGTTTACACCTCAGAAATCAGCAATTGCTACAAATCAGGGCTTGATTTATTGTTTTGTTGATCATCTAGACTTAAGAAAGTGTTGAAAATGCAGATCAAATTTAAAAGTATATGTGCATTTTCCCCCCCAAGAGAGCCTAGTTGTTAGATATGTATTCCGGTTTCTATCAATTATAGCACTGACGGGATCATAGATGTAGGGCTGACAGCAACCGCAGAAGCCTTCTAGTCTAACCTTTTCATTTTATTGATGGGGAAACTGATTTACCCCAGAAGGAAAATTGACTTACCCAAGGTCACACAATTTATAAGCATCATGGATGGGATTTGAAACCAGAATCAATGCTCTGCCTCCATTTATTAAATAGTTTTATAGTTTGGAGATTAAGAACTGTCTCCCTTCCTAGACATCCTGTATAGCTAGAGAGGACAGTAAAGTAGCTTACAGTAAAGGACTGGCCTAGACCAGTGGAATCAAACTCAAATAGAAGTGGGGGCCATTAACGTAAGGATCCCTGCAGGAAAGATATTAACTTAGAAAACCACCTTTTAACATTATTTACGTTGCATTTTTATTTATTTTGTTAACTATTTCTCATTTACATTTTAATCTGGTTCCACTCAACTCAGCAGTGTTGTCCCAAATGTTTGCTACCTCTGGCCAAGACAACCTCAGGAAGTCAGATGTGTATTTATTTTTTATCTGAAAGAGATCATAAAAGGTTATTTGTTCATCTGCTTATGATAAAGAAGAATAATATCTCCATCTAGAATATGAAACTGTGAGGAAAAAAGCAGCCCTGGACTTGCAGTCAGGAGATCAGATTTTAGTTCTAGGCTTGATGGGAAATAATAATGCCAACCTGCCTGCTTTATAGGTTTGGCATAAGGCTCAATTAAGATTATAGATAAGGAAAGCTCTTTGAAATGATTCTACAAATGTAAAATGGTGATCTCAACTTTGTAACAGGGCCAAAATTAACATGTCCATTTTCAAAGGATATCAATTTGGGGTTTTTTGATAGGATAAGATAGGAAGGTATAACTTTATTTTTCCTATTTTTTTTACTAATTAATTTGTTTTTAGTTTTCAGCATTCACTTCCATAAGATTTTGAGTTTTAAAATTTCTTCCTCTCTCTCCCCTCCCCCTCCCCAAGACGGTTTGCAATCTGATATAGGCTTTACATATGCATTCATATTAAACATATTTTCACATTAGTCATGTTGTAAAGAAGAATTCGAACCAATGGGAGGAACTACAAGAAAGAAGAAACAAACAAACAAACAAAAACAACAAAAAATAGAGAAAGCAAATAGTATGTATGCTTCGATCTGCATTCAGACTCCATAGTTCTTTCTCTGGATATGGATAGCATTTTCCATCATGGGTCTTTTGGAGTTGCCTTAGATCCTTGCATTACTGAGAACATCTAAGTCTATTAAAGTTAGTCATTGCACAACGTTGCTGTTATTGTATTGTATACAGTGTTCTCTTGATTCTGCTCACTTCACTAAGAATTAGTTCATGTAAGTCTTTCTAGGCTTTTCTGAAGTCTGCATGCTCATCATTCCTTACAGCACAATAGTATTCCATCACATTCATATACCACAACTTTCTCAGTCATTTCCCAATTGGTGGACATCCTCTCAATTTCCAGTTCTTTGCCACCACAAAAATAGCTGCTACAAATATTTTTGTACCCTATTTAACACTGAAAGGACTTAAAGTGGGTCCTTTTCCTATTTTTATGATCTCTTTGGGATACAGACCTAGAAGTGGTATTGCTGGGTCAAAGGGTATGCAGAGTTTATAGCCCTTTGGGCATAGTTCTTAAATGCTCTCCAGAATGGTTGGATCAGTTCACAACTCCACCAACAAAGCAATAACGTTCCAATTTTCCCACATCTTCTCCAACATTTATTATTGTCCTGTTTTGTCATGTTAGCCAATCTGATAGGTGTGATGTGGTACCTCAGAGCTGTTTTGATTTGCATTTCTCTAATCAATAGTGATTCACAAGCAATTTTTCATATGATTATAGATTGCTTTAATTTCATCTGAAAACTGCCTGTACATATCTTTCACCATTTATCAATTGGGGAATGACTCACATTCTTATAAATTTGACTGAGTTCTCTACATATTTTATCAGAGACACTGGTTGTAAAAATTCTTTCCCAGCTTTCTGCTTCCCTTATAATCATGGTTGCATTGGCTTTCTTTATGCAAAAACTTTTCAATTTGATGTAATCAAAATCATCCATTTTGCATTTCATAGTGTTCTATATCTCTTGTTTGCTCACAAGTCCTTCTGTTCTCTATAGGTGTGACAGGCAAACTACTCCTTGCTCTCCCAGTTTGCTTACAGTATCAGACTTTATATCTAAATCATGTACCCATTTTAACTTTATTTTGGTATATAGTGTGAGATGTTGGTCTATGCCTAGTTTCTTCCATACTGTTTTCTAGTTTTCCCAGCAGTTTTTGTCAAATAGTGAATTCTTATCCCAGAAGCTGGAGTCTTTGGGTTTATCAAACAGTAGATTACTATAGTCATTGATTATTGTGTCTTGTGTACCTAACCTATTCTCCTGATCCACCACTCTATTTCTTAGCCAGTAGTACCAAGTAGTTTTGATGATTGCTACTTTATAATACAATTTAAGATCTGGTAAGGCTAGGCCACCTTCCCTTGCATTTCTTTTCATTAATTCCCTTGATATTCTGGATCTTTTGTTCTTCCAGATGAATTTTGTTATTATTTTTCCTAGCTCTATAAAATAATTTTTGGTAGTTTGATTGGTATGGCACTAAATAAGTAAATTAATTTAGGTAGAATTGTCATTTTAATTTTAACTCAGCCTACCCACAAGCAGCTGATATTTTTCCAGTTATTTAGATCAGACTTTATTTGTGTGAAAAGTGTTTTATAATTCTGTTCATATAGTTTTAGAGTTTGTTTTGGCAGGTAGACTCCCAAACATTTTATAATGTCTACAATAACTTTAAATGTACTTTCTCTTTCTATCTCTTGCTGCTAGGCTTTGTTAGTAATATATAGAAATGCCAATGATTTATGTAGGTTTATTTTATATCCTACAACTTCGCTAAATTTGTTTATTATTTCAAGAAATTTTTAGTTGATTTTTTAGGATTCTCTTAAGTATACCATCATATCATCTGGAAAGAGTGATAGCTTTGTTTCTTCTTTGTCTATTCTAATTCCTTCAATTTCTTTTTCTTCTCTTATTGCTAAAGCTAATGTTTCTAGCACAATATTGAATAATAGTGTTGATAATGGACATCCTTTCACTCCTGATCTTACAGGAAATGCTTCTGACTTATCCTCATTACATATAATGCTTGGTGATGGTTTTAGATAGATGCTACCTATCATTTTAAGGAAGACTCCATTTATTCCTATACTATAGTGGGTTTTTTGGGGGGGGTTTAGGCAGTTGGGGTAAAGTGACTTGCCCAGGGTCACACAGCTAGTGTCAAGTGTTTGGTCTGAGGCCAGATTTGAACTCAGGTCCTCCTGCCTTCAGGGCCGGTGCTCTATCCACTGTGCCACCTAGCTGCCCCTTACTATGGTGTTTTTAATTGGAATGTGTGTTATATTTTGTCAAAAGCTTTTTCTGCATCTATTGAGATAATCATGTGATTTCTGTTAGTTTTGTTGTTGATATGGTCAATTATACTGATAGTTTTCCTAATATTGAACAAGCCCTGTATTCCTGACATAAATCCTACCTGGTTATAGTGTCTTGTCCTTGAGATAAGTTGATGTAATCTCTTTGCTAATAGTTTATTTAAATTTTTTGCATCTATATTTATTAGGGAAATTTGTTTATAATTTTCTTTGTTTTGGCTCTTCCCAGTTTAGGTATCAGCACCCTATTTGTATCATAAAAAGAATTTGGTAGGACTTCTTCTTCACCTGTTTTCCCAAATAGTTTATATAGTGTTGAAATTCATTGTTCTGTAAATGTTTGATAGAATTTACTTGTAAATCCATCTGGCCCTGGAGATTTTTTCTTAGGGAGTTCATTGATGGCTTGTCCAAATTCTTTTTTTGAAATGAGGTTAAGCATTTTATTTCCTCTTCTGTTAATCTGGACACTTTAAAATTTTTGTAAATATTCATCCTTTAAGTAAAACTCTTTATATACACATATATAATATGTTATACATGTAAAGAATATATATATGTATATATACACCTATTATATATAGTCCTGGCATTATTTTCTTTGCCTAGTCCTGCCCAGACTCATCTCTGTGTTACATATTGATCCATTATGTATATAAAGGTAAGACAAAATGTCTCTGTTGACAATTTTTATTAAATGTTCATTAGGTGGAAAGTATACAATGCATAGTACAGAGGTACTGTGAAAGAGATTTTTAAAAAAAAAATAGGTCTTTGCCCTTCTCTAGGACCCTCAGAGCTTTGTTAAAAAGGTAGAGATCAAACAAACCCACATAAATCATTGGCATAAAATATGTAGAGAACTCAGTCAAATTTATAAGAATATGAGTCATTCCCCAATTGATAAATGGTGAAAGGATATGTACAGGCAGTTTTCAGATGAAATTAAAGCAATCTATAATCATATGAAAAATTGCTTGTGAATCACTATTGATTAGAGAAATGCAAATCAAAACAGCTCTGAGGTACCACATCACACCTATCAGATTGGCTAACATGACAAAACAGGACAATAATAAATGTTGGAGAAGATGTGGGAAAATTGGAACGTTATTGCTTTGTTGGTGGAGTTGTGAACTGATCCAACCATTCTGGAGAGCATTTAAGAACTATGCCCAAAGGGCTATAAACTCTGCATACCCTTTGACCCAGCAATACCACTTCTAGGTCTGTATCCCAAAGAGATAAAAATGGGGAAAGGACCCACATGTACAAAAATAGTCATAGCATCTCTTTTTTGTGGTGGCAAAGAATTGTAAATTGGGAATACTGAGCAAGTTGTGGTGTATGAATGTGATGGAATGTTATTGTGCTATAAGAAATGATGAGCAGGCAGACTTCAGAAAAATCTGGAAGTTATCTGATGCTTAGTGAAGTGAACAGAACCAGGAAAACATTGTACACAATAACAGTCACATTGTCTGATCACTGACTTTGATAGACTTATCTCTTCTTAGCAATGCAAGAAAATGCTCTCCACATCCAGAGAAAGAACTATGGAGTCTGAATGCAATTCGAAGCATGCTGTTTGCTTTCTGTCTCCCTTTTTTTGTTGTTTCTTCTTTCTCATGGTTTCTCCCTTTCGTTCTAATTCTTCTTTAGGACATGACTAATGTGAAAATATGTTTAATATGAATGTATATATTGACCTATTTCAATTTACATGCTGTCTTGGTGTGGGGGAAAGGGAAGAGATGGGGAGAAAATTTAGAACTCAAAATCTTATGGAAGAGATTGTTGAAAACTAAAAAATAAGGAATAAATTTATTAATTATATAAAAGATAGAGATCTATCTAGCTTCCTAGGTACAGATTCTTGCCAAATTTTAAACCCTGATTTTTTTGAGTCTTGGTGACAAATTTTAAGATGTCTAATGTAGGAAAATTCTATTGAACCTACTAGGCCACTAACTCTGAATTTATGGAAAAAGTGTCCTGTTGGTGGGCTGAAAGTTTGGAGGTGGGAGGAAGGATTTGTCAAGTAAATAGGGAAAATGTTTAGCCAACTTAGAAAAATCAAGTTTTTTAAAAAGCATTTTATTTAGCACTTTGCCTTAACAATTTAGAAGGTCCTTTACTTAAAATAATGTCACACTTTCACTGTGTTTGTAAGCCTAGCATCAAACATTCAGAACTTGGAGGCACATCAGAAGCCATCTAATCCAATTCTCTCATTTTACAGATGAGGAAACTGAGGCACAGAGAGGTTAATTGATTTTTCTGGGGAAGGAAGCAAATAAACATTTAGTAAGCACCTACTATGTGCCTAGCACTGTGCTAAGTGCTTTACAAATATTATCTCATTTGGTCCACACAACAACCCTGGGAGGGGTGGTATCATTATCCTCATTTTATAGTTGAGACAGGGGTTAAATAACTCACCCAGGATCATACAGCTAATATATGTGTGAGCAGGATTTGAACTCAGGCCCTCCTAATCACTACACCACCTAGCCGCTGATATCATAGAGCTAATACATATCTGAGGCAGGATTTGAAACGAGGTCTTCTTGATTTTTAAGTCCAACACTGTATCACTCTGTTGCCTCAGAAAACAGCAAAATTATATATGTTCCATACTTCCCATCATACATGTTTAACTAGTTTGCAGAGCACTTTCCACCTTTATTGCAGATCAGTCGCGATGGTCCTATAGAAATAGCTAGGTATCTTTTTTTTTCTTCTTGGGATTTCTGGACTCCTATAGATTCTCAACTTTCTCATTTTACAGAATCATTGGGACTAAATTGATTAAAAGCCTTGGTGTGCCTGAGTTTGATATTGCCAGGAATGTTTTAGAGCTAATCTACACACAGACCCTGCTGTGGTAAGTGTGAGGGGGAGGGTAGTGTTAGGAGGAGACATCAGTTAGATCAAGGACAATCTCTCTTCTTTATCAGATCCTGTGGGATTCCCATCACGCTACAGTATCTTAGAAGAATGTGATGTCAAAATTAGGTCATAGCATCTGTACTGAGTAACCTATATTTCATAACTTCTTAAAATCAAAAGGTCATCTAGTACAAACTGAAGTTGGAACTTTGTTTACAACATTTCTGACAAATATTCAGCCGATATCTATTTGAATAACTCTTGTAGATAAGTTATTTCCCAAGATAGCCCCAATCTATTTTGGGTCCATTAATTGTTGAGATTTTTTTTCCTCATGCCAAATCAGAATTTCCTTTTAGCAACTTTCTGTTCATTCCTCCTAGTCCTGCCCTTTGAGGCCGGATCTCCAGGGCTCCCCCCCAAAAAAATATATCAATCAACAAGCATTAATTAAGCACCTATTGTATTCTAAGCACTATGCTAGGTGCAAATATGGTCCTTCTTCCACATGACAACTTATCAGATACTTGAAGATGACAGATGCCGTGTTTCCCCTAAATCTTCCCATCTCTAGGCTTCCCGTACATTTTAATTCTTGACAATATAGGTGGTAGATTTTTTTTTTAATTCAGGGGGGAGGGTGGCTCCTAGATGAAGTGGAACTGCTGCTAGATATCTTGAACCACTTAGGGATTGCTTTCTCTCCCCACCCCTTCTTTTCAATGGCTTTTAATATGCTATTTTAGACACTCTCTACTAAATGAGAATTGCCTACTGACTTGTTTTCTGGCCTTGAGAAAGTTAGGAAGATCTTGGTTCAAATTCTAACTCAGCTACTAAGTAGCTGCATGACCCTGGGCAGGTCATTTGAACTCTCTGATCCTGTTTCTTTATTTGTATAATGGAAATAATAAGAGAACATAATAGGTTATTAGGAGGCTCAGATGAAATAATATATATAAAGCACTTTGCAAACCTTAAAGTGCTATATAAATGTTAACTACTATTATTGAGTATACTATGGGAAAGTAATGACCCTCTTTCTCTTTGCAGGATTGGCATCTTTTTCTCTCCTCTGCTGCCCTTCATCCACATGATCACACTCTTCATCATGCTTAATGTCAAAAGAGTAAGTGATATCTTGGAACCCACCAGTGAAACCAAACATGGTTTAGTGTTGTGGTTGAAGGAGGGAAAGGCATCTCTCAACACTGCATCTATTTATGCATTAGAGAGAAGAGGGCAAAGGGAAAGGGAGTCAATCGGACACCAAAAGTTGAGGTTTGAAAGACATATAAAGAAATTGATAGGAGATTGTATCACTCTTCCTTCAGATCAGCTTAATGATGAACTGTCTGCCTCCAAGCAAAGTCTGGCGTGCCTCTCAGATGATGACTCTTTTTATCTTCCTACTGTTTTTCCCATCTTTTACTGGGGTGCTATGTGTCCTAGCCATCACTGTCTGGAGGTAAGAGATGACTCTGTGATTACAGATGTTTTAAATGCCATTTTGGGGAAGAGTTGGGGAGGGAGTGAGGGGAAAGAATCTAAGCAATGCTACTATTTCCTTATTAACTGAAACTGAAATATTTCAGTAATAGCTGTGGCTTTTTAAAAATCAGGCCCATGATTTCATTCGTTTAGGGAACTCTCAGTGAGGAAACTTCTAGCTGTGGGTGCAGATTGGCACCCAACATTTTCAGCTTGAAGTCTTAGAGACTGGTCTGGAACATTAAGAGGTTGAGTGATTTGCCAGGATGTGTTAGAAATAGAACTTGAACCCAGGTTTTCTTGACTCTGAGGCCAGCTCTCCATATACCACATCAAGTTTCTTCTCATAACATTTTATTATGTCTTATTTTTCTTTCCAATTATATGTTAAAACAATTTTTAACCTTTTTTTTTTTAACGTTTTGAGTGCCAAATACCATCTCTCCCTCCTTCCCCTCCCTTTCCCACTCCTGGAGTCGGTAAATAATCCAATATAGGTTATATACCTCATAATATTTTTTTAAAATAATATTTTTTCCCAATTACATGTGTAGACAGTTTTTAACCTTCAATTTTTAAAAAAATTGAGTTCCAAATTTTCTCCCTTCCTCTCTCACTTCCCCCTCGTGAAGACATTAAGCACTTTGATCTCAGTTCACAACATTTTTTTAAAGGATAGGGAAGGAAAGAGAAACCTATCTCAACTATTAATTAACAAATAAAACTAAAAATGACCCTCATTAACTTTTATCATCTAAGTTTTCACAACTTTTTAGCCCATATGGTACGAGATCCTTCAGCTCTTCTTTGTTGTCAAGTCAGGGAATGTTTTATGTTCTCTCTTTCCTGTGCTCCCAAGAATGGATGGAATATACTCAAGAAAAAGGCCAATAGATCAGACTAGATGTGATCTAGCTTATTAATCATGTGACCTTAAGCAAGTTACTTTATTTACTTACCTGAGCCTCAGTTATTTCATCTATAAAATCGGGATGAAATTACTATTACTACCTGCCTTGCAGCACTGTGAAGTGAAGGGTGTTTAACCTATAAAGTGCTATATACATGGAATTATTAATCATAATAAGTTAAGAGAGATCAGTTTTGTGAATCCAGGGTAATTGGCAATCCTAGAACTAAATTCTTTTCAGTCAAGTCCCTAGTACCCTAGTACATGTTGATTAGCACAATTTGGTAAAGTAGAAGAAGGAGGTGGGGGGGGTGTTACTATTGGAAAAGTACTTAGGCCTAAGGGCATATCTTATTTTTACTCTTAAAAGTATGGGCAGAAAAACAATTTGCACTGTAACATCAATATTATAAAAATGAACAATTTTATGGACATTTGTGGACTAATGAAGAATGAAATTAGCAAAACTAGGGGAACAATTTGTACAATGACAACAACACTGTAAAAACAAACCACTTTGAGAGCTGTTAGAACTACAATCACTACAATGACCATCTATGATTTCAGAGGACTGATGATGAAATGTGCTACCTGTTATGGAGTCAATAAAGATACAGATTGAGCTATAAATATTTTAGGGTACAGCCATTGGGGAATTTATTTTGCTTGACCATGCATATTTATTGCAAGAAATTCATTTGTTCCCTCTGCTGCCCCACCCCAGTGGGGTAGAAGGTGGGAAAGAAAGGAAATAGACTTCTATTAATTAAAAAAAAAAAGATAAAGAGATAAGGAGGAGACTACAGATGTGAAAGGTTGCATGCACTTTCAGATGAGTTCACTATGTTATTAGTTTTACTTAACTTTTACTTCATTGTAAAAGACCCCAAACAAAGTATAGACATCCTGCAAATATATGTAATGTAAAAAGAAAACATCAATAAAACTCAAAGTGACCAAAAAAAGGGTATGATCAGCATGGTGTAGTGAAAAGAGCATTGAACTTGAAGTTCTAAGACTGGATTCAGAAGGTGGCTCTACCCCTTAATTGCTGTGTATTCATGAGAGAGTCATAAATGTCCTCCTTCCTCATCTGTAAAATTAGGGCTAATAATACTTGTACTGGAAAAATGCGCACACTGAAAATTTAACCATCAGCTCACATAAGCCCAAATGGGCTGGCTGCATCCAGCGCATTACTGGGAAGATGAGTTAAAATCCCACCTCAGACATTTACTAGCTGTGTGACCCTAGAAAAATCACTTAAGCTTTGTCTGCCTGGCACATAAAAGCCACTTCCAAAAATATATATATATAATAATAATAATTATACTTTTATTGTCTCTCTTAAGAGGAAAGGGAGGAAAGTAGCACACATTTATTGAGCACCCATATGTGACAGGCACTTAGCACTTTTCAAATATTATCTCATTTGATTCTCACATGAACATTGGGAGGGGGATTGAGAAAACTGAGAAAGCAGGTTAAATGACTTGTCCAAGGTAACACAGCACACAGCTAGTAATGTCCAAGGCCACATTTGAACTCGTCACCTTCTTCTTCTTTTAGTTTTCAACATTCACTTTTATAAGATTTTGAGTTCGAAGTTTTCTTCTACTTCCTCTCCCCCCTCCCCAAGATGGCCAGCAAGCTGATATAGGCTATATATGTACAATCATATTAAACATATTTCCACATTAGTCATCAGGTCTTCTTGACTCTAGGTCCAATACTTTACCCACGGCGCCATCTAGCTGAGTAGTACTCAGTAGAGAGGAAGGGAGTGCTTCATAAAGAGCAAAATGCTATGTAAATATTAGATGTTATTTATTATTAATTATAACATTACTAATATTATTACTATATTAGGAGAACTCTTAACTTTTCAGCAGTTGTTCATCTGCATCCATGGCTGAGAAATCTCTTTGATTTCAGGTTTACAGAACAAGTCAAATACCAGTAAAATAATGACAGCAGGGATATCAGAGAAGACACAGTCATTTTAGAACCAAATCTACCTCATTTTCCTTTTCTGCTCAGGTTGAAGCCTTCAGCCCAGTGTGGTCCTTTCCAAGGCCTGCCTTCCATCATCCATGCAATCTATGGATGGATTGAGATACTTAGCAACAGACCTAGCTACTTATGGGTAGTGTGGATTTATCGGAATCTCATCGGGAGTGTGCATTTCTTCTTCATCCTCACCCTCATTGTCGTGTAAGTAGAACAAGAAATTAAAATAAGAGGGGAAAATTAAAACTTTGGGGATAGGACTGTGGGTGGGAGAGAGGGTAGAAGAAATAGCTTGCTGAAGATTGACATATAAGGGGAAAAAAAAAGATTGATACATAAGGCCCTGGTAAGCTTGAGTTTAGTGGAAAGAGCAAAGGACCTGGCATTAGGAGAAGGGACTTCTCATTCAAACTATACCTCTAACAAACTCCATGACCTTAAGCAAATTATTTAACATTTCTGTACCTCAGAAATGGAAATATCACCTATTTCTTATTGTTCTTCAGTCATCTCTGACTCTTCTTGACTCCTTGGACCATAGCATGCCAATGTTATCCATGGGAGTGGTTTGCCATTTCCTTTTCCAATGGATTAAGGCAGACTGAGGTTAAGTGACTTGCCAAAGGTCACACAGCCAGTAAGTGTCTGAGGGCAGAGTTGGACACAGGTTTTCCTGACTCCAAGACTAGTACTGTATTCATTGAGCCACTTGCTGCCTCTGTACCTCAGGCAAATGGAAATAATACTGCCTGCCCTATCCAACTAGTTAAAGGATGGACAGAATGAGATCCAACATCTTTTGAACAGTGCTTTGAAGAGTTGAACATGCTATACAAGTCCCAGTTGTTTTTTTTATTACTAAAAAATATCGTTATGGCTTGGTCATCATATCGATCAACTCAAATCAGATAATATATGTAAAGCACTTTGCAAACTTTCAAGTGCTATATAAATATCAGGTATTACTATTTGTATTGATGTATGAGAGAAACCAATTTAAATACAGTCCCTTTAAGAGCCCATTGCTTTTTTTTTTTTTGGTTAGGCAATGGTGTTAAGTGACTTGCCCAGGGTCACACAACTAGTAAGTGGTAAGTGTCTGAGGCTGGATTTGAACTCAGGTCCTCCTGAATCCAGGGCTGGTACTCTATCCACTGCACCACCTAGCTGCCCCCAAGAGCCCATTGCTTTTTTAAAAGTGTTTTATTCTATAGTTTGTTTAGTTATTCCCGAATTGATAGATGCTCATAGGACCACAGAATCACTAATCAATTAGCATTTGTTCGTCACCTATTATGGGCAAGACACTGGCAATAAAAATGCAATGAATGAAACAATTCCTACTTCCCAGGAGGAACTTAGAACATAGTCCAAATCATAGATATAGAGCTAGACTTGACCTGAGAGATCATCTAGCCCACCGTCCTTATTTTGTAAGTGAAGAAACTGAGGATCAAGGTGACCCAGGTAGTAAATACCAGTGCTAGGAACACAAATGATCCAATTCCAAATGCGTTAGTATTTCTATTGCACCAGTCTGTTTCTCACTTTGTGGTTTTGTGGATTGTTGTTTTGTTCTACAACAAAAAAGCATTGCTATGAATATTTTGGTATATATGGTTTTTTTCAACTTTTTTTTTTAGGCAATTAAGGTTTAGTGACTTGCCCTGGGTCACATAGCTAGTAAGTATCTGAGGCTGGATTTGAATTCAGGTCTTCTTGACTCTAGGGCAGGTACTCTATCCACTGTGCCACCTGGCTGCCTCTAATAGTTTGGTTTATTTGAGACATTTCTCTCTTGTCTCTGATTTCCTTGGAATGTGTATCCAGTAGTGAGATAGCTGGGTTAAAAGGTCTGAGCATTCATTATTTTTTAATTATATTAACCAATCAGCAATTCAGTAAGCACTTAATAAGTGCTTGCTATGTCCCAGACGCTAGGTTAAGTGCTGGGGATACAAAGAAGAAGCAAAAAACAGTCCCTACCCTCAGCTCCTATTCTAATGAAGGAGACAGCATGTATATCAATAGGTAATATAAAATACATAGGAAGTAACTTTAGAGGTGAAAGTTCTACCAGCATTGGTTACTTCTCAGTGGTAGCTCCTGGGTGGCGTTTGAGCTGAATTTTGAAGGAAGCCAGGGATTCTAAGAAAAGGAAGTGAAGACGGAGAGCGTTCTAAGTGTGGGAAATCACCAGTGCAAAGACACATTGGTGGGAGATGGAGTGTGCATTGACAGGCTGGTGCTCAAACTGTGGTGATGTTGATGAAAGTATTACACTTTTTCATGCTTTTCTAAGCACTTTGATCCTCATAGTAACTCTGCAAAGTTGATAAAGCACATGGATCTCTATTTTACAGATATGAATACTAAGGTCCAAAGATTAATTAACTTACTCCTAATGATGTCATGGTCACCACCATTTATATGGTCCTTTAAAGTTTGCAAAGTGCTTTAGAAATATTATCTCCTTTGATCCTCAGAACAACCCAGGAAGGTAGGTACTATTATTATCCCCATTTTACAGTGGAGGAATCTGAGACGAACAGTGTTAAAGTGACTTGCTAGTAAGTGTCTGAGGTCAGATTTGAAATCAAGTTTTTTCTAATTATAAGTCCAGTACTTTATTCACTGTGGCATCCAGCTCTGTGGTCAGATAACATCTGAACAATAGTTAAATTTAATAGGCTTAGCATTCTGGATTTTAAGAGGACATTGATAAATTGATAGAAGTTTGATAAAGGCAACCAGGATGATGAGTCATCTGAAAACCATGCCACGTGAGCAGCAATTGAAGGAACTCTGAGAATTCATCTCAAGGGAAGGAGACCTAGGGATAACAGGATAACTCTTCAAATATTTAAAGATCTACCGAGTAAAAGAGAAATAGATTGATTTATTTTTTGCTGCTCCAAGATAGAATGAGGACCAAACAGTGGAGGTCACTGGGAGATGATCCTATCTCAAAATAAAGAACTTTCTAAAAATTAGGACTGTGCAACAATAGAATGAAGTAAATAGTGAGTTTTTTATCACTGGAAATGTTGAGGTAGAGGCCTTTGGGGAATATTGTAGAGGAGATGTATGCATTGCGAGGTTAGCTTTAATGGCCAAAACCCTTCCAAATCCAAGATTCTATGATTTTTTTTTAGTTGTTTAGTGTCACACTGCGAATAAATGTCAAAGGTAATGAAAACCCAAGAATTGTCCTTCACTGCTATGAGTTTCCTAAACCTTCTACCAAACAATTTTGGTTATAATAGAAGACACTTTTCACTGCTTTCTAGCAACATTAGGGATGGGGACTAGGGAACTCTCAGGAGAAGAAACTTCCCCAACCACACACATCAGGAACTCCTCTGCGACTTACAGTCTTAGAAAGCTGTCTAGGAAGGTTAATGACTTGCTCAGGGTCACACAGCCAGCATGTGTTACAGACAGGACTTTCTGACTTCAAACCCAGTTTTCTCTCTATGTTGCCTCTCATTCCAACAGTATTACTATCTAAAATTTTAAAATTCAATTTCATTTTATTTTTAGCTCCAAATTCTCTCCTTCCCCCTTACCTTCAAGAAGGCAAGAAAAACAATCATTACAAATACGTACAGTCAAAGAAAACAAATTCCCAATTAGCCCCATCTAAATACATATATATGATATATGTGTGTATGTTTATACACACACACACACACACACACACACACACACACACACACACACACACACACACACACACACACATACACACTTCAGTCTCCATTCCATTATCTGTCTACCTGGAGGTGGGTTGCATTTTTCACCATGAATCCTCTAGAATCCTTGTTGGTCATTGTGTTAATAAGAGTGCCTAAGCTTTTCAAACCAACAGTATTACTATTAAGAACTCTAATGGCAGTGCCAGTGATTTGAGTCTATGCTGTTAGCCTTCTTGTTCCCAAAGTCAGTCATATTTTGACCTCTTATGAGTTCCCCTTTTAGAGCAAGTAAGCATAGCAGTTTTCCCCATAATCACTACACAAGGATTATTGATCAAGTCTTGTCTACGTATCTTATGATACGTAGGCTCTTTCTTTGGTTGTTTTCCTTGGGCATATGGAAAAATATATTGGATGTTGCAGTAGATTTGGGATCATGAAGACTTGGGTTTAAATCCTACTTCAGAAACTTACCTACTCAAATAATCCTGGGCAGGTTGGTTAGCTTCTCTGAGCTTCAGTTTCCTCATCTGTAAAATGGGGATAATAATAATACCTGCCTCATGGGTAGTAGTGAGCTTCCTATCACTGCAAGTGTTGACTACAGTGCTGTCAAAGAATATTGTAGAGGAGATTTGTGCAGTAGGTTAGCTTCAATAGCTGAGATACTTCCTCCTAAGACTATTGTGAGGATCAAATGAAATAATATATGTAGAGCATTTTGTACATTTCAAGTGGTTTCATAAGTGTCAGACATTATTAATATTATTGATTTTTTTTTCTCTGCACCTTCCCACTGGTACTGGGGGTCCCCTAAAGGTTCAAGAAGACAAAGAGAGAAAGTCTTTTGAGGTCAAGGCAGAATTCATAGGATCATAGATTTAAAGTTGAAAAGGACTAGATGCCATGAAGTCCAATTCCCTTATTTTACAAGTGAGGTAGCTGAGGCCCAGAAAAGTTCAGTGACTCCACAGAAGTTACTTAAGTAGAAAGTGACAGTCAGAATTTGAACCCATATCCTCTAATATCAAATTTAGCCCTCTTTTTTTTTTCTGCTATATCATGGCTACAATGGTAAACAAAGTCAAAGTCAGGCAGAAATCCTGAAGGAGTTCTTAGCAGCAGTACAAAGTGGGTGTAGAAAGAATAGGTAAAGTAGGGTAAGATGATTCAGGAAAAACCGAGAAAGGAACAGGGGAAGGGAATAAGCATTTTTATATAGTACCTACCATGTGCTAGGCACTGTTCTAAAGGCTTGTTCAAATATTATTTCATTTGATTCTCACTACAACCCTGTAAGGCAGGTGTTATTATTGTCCACAATTTACAGATGAGGAAACTGAGGTAAACACATTAAGTGACTTACCCAGGGTCACACAAAGTGTATCTGAGGTTGGGTCTGAGCTTAGTTCTTCTGGACTTTCTTGTTCTATTCACTACACCATCAACCACCTCTAAAATTAGGCAGCATTGTCTAATGTGCAGCATTAGGCTTTGGTGAAATGATAGTATTTCATTCACTCAATGGCTTTGCACAAGATTGCGTTCTTTACAGTGCTGACCATGTATCACTGTGGCTGAAGGTTTTGGCAGGTGTTGCGGTGGTGTGCCTGTGTGATACCGTATATTAAAAGGCAGCGCCTCAGCTGTTCAAATGCAAGGACTGAGTGCTCACTCAGATTTCTTACAGTGTGGCTAGATGGGCTGTTTGGATGGCATTTGTCAAATCAGTGATTCTGAATCACAAGTCTAAACATTTTCTGCTACGATTGTAGCCCCGTCCCCATTTAAACAAAGTTGCTGCATGCAGATCTGAATTTAAGCAAAATATAGAGTGTGGTTATTTACTGCATAGAAAAGTGAAGCTGGACAGTATCTTAGATATGGTCTAATCCAACTGCTTCACTTTACAGATGAGGCAACTGAGGCCCAGAGAAGTAAATTTACTTGAATAAGGTCACTGGTAGAGCTAGGATTAGAATCCTGCTCTTCTAACTCCTGGTGCAGTCTTTTATATTTATTATACTACCCTGACATTAGATTTCTTAAGCTATTGAACTACCCTGTGTATTTGAAGTACAATACATTTACACATGTGACAAATAGTCCAGGACCTGAGATCTGGATGCATATACACCACATCCTGGAGGAAGCCCCCTCCCCTCAACCCAGAATTCTTTGACTTGCTTTGCTCCTAGCCAAAGTTCGCTCTAGGTAATATCCAAATATAGTTCAGATCTAGGTCTCCACAGATGGGGATAAAAGAATCTCTAGCTCCCATATAAGCACTCAATGTAACCATCAGCTACAGTTACAGAACAGCTTTTATTCTACCCCACAGAAAATCCAAAAACAACATAAAGGACTCAGTTGTTCAGTCATATCCGACTCTTCATGACCCCATTTAGGATTTTCTTGGCAAAGACACTGGAATGGTTTGCCATTTCCTTCTCCAGCTCATTTTACAGATGAGGAAACTGAGACAACCAGGATTAAGTGACTTGTCTAGATCATATAGTTAATAAGGGTCTGAGTTGACATTTGAACTGAGGTGTTCCTGACTCCAGGCAAGTGCCCTATTGACTGTGTCACCTAGCTGCCCTATAAAGGACTCAGAGGAGCACATAAATAGCACAAGTGACTCTCCTTCCCTTTTCAGTGTGTCCCACATACTGGGAAGGGAAACAAATTTGAGATTCCTAAGAAAGAAACCCCCCAGCATTTCATAAGTCCTTTCATTACTAAGACCCATATAGTATCCAGCCTTACAGTAGTACCCTAAGGACTTGGATTCCTTCTTGGAAGAGAAGCACATTTTAGGTTGCTAAATGAGCATCTTTCTAACATTCCAGTAAATGTCACTCTTACCTCAGAGGCCCATACAAACATCCAACCTTATACCACCTCACAGTAAGAGCAGAGAGCAACGTCGGGATCTTTTGCACCCTCACGTTGTGCTTTAGTCCTTTGTTGTTCTTATTGCTCCAGGGGACCTCATACTAATTATTTTTTCTCCTGAAAAGGCTAATGATGCCCAAAGAACTCTCTGGAAGATGGGATTTTGGAACTCTCAAACTTGGGGGTGTTTGACAAGGCAACTCTGTGACTAACACTTCTGAAGCTCCTCTTTCTCATGCTTGAAGTTCAGATTATGGAATCATGCTGCCCAAGAAATCTCTTCTTTATTTTGGAGGCTAGGATTCAGCAACTCCTGCCACTTGTACTGCATGGTACCCCTCTCTGTAGCTGCTGTCTGGGAAGTTAAGTCACAATGTCTTCAAGTCTGAGGCCAGGAATTAGAAGTCCAGGGACTTGCCTTCTCAGACGAACTTATGCACAACTTTCTTGTAGCTCTGCCCTAAGGGAACCATTATCAATTTCTGGTAGAGGAAACTTCCCTATCTCCACCACAGTGCTCTTGGCTTTTCTCAGTTTTACTACTCTCTGATTGGTCCTCTGAAATAAGTTCAGCCAAAAAGAATAATTCTGACTTAATAGACTGGTTCAATCAAATCATCTCTATTATCCAGGTGATATTTTTAATCTCCAGGAGGTTACCAGTGGCACTCCACTAGAGAAAGATGTAAGCCCAGGCAGCTTAGTGGCCTAGTAGGTGTGGCACTGGTCCTGGAGTCAGGAAGACCTAAGTTCAAATTTTGGCTTCAGATACATTTTAGCTGTGTGACTCCATGTAAGTTCCTTATCTTCATTTGCCTCAGTTTCGTCATCTATGAAATAGGGATAATAGCACCTAGCTCCCAGAGTTGTGAGAATCAAATGAGATAGTTTTTGTGAAGTGCTTTGCAAACCTAAAAGCGCTATATAAATGTTAGCCATCATCACCATCATCATCATTATCATCAAGTAAGTTCCAAATAAAGGAGCTGTAAACTTCTCTAGTTGATCAAATAACTTTCCTTTATCTACCTCCTATACACACAACTATTGCTGAACATACCTGAGGTGTAAAACAAAGCACAATTGTTTTCCTAAACCATCAGAAAGCAGACAATTCAGTTGCTTTTAAGCCGACCACCAAAAATCGAAAAGGTTTGTGACCCAAAGGGAGTGCTTCAGAATGTACTGTCACTGGCCTCAAGGAAGAAAGGAAGCAAAGAAACAACTATTTATTAAGCACCTATTGTGTGCCAGGCACTGTGCCAATACTGAAGATACAAATACAGACAGAAAGAAAGACAACCCCTGCCTCAAAGAGACAAGACACAAAAAAGAGTTTTAAAAAGTGGGGTAAAGGTACTTGGTACAGGGGGCATGGTTTTGAAGTCCAGAAGTCAAGGTCAGAGCCAGGAGGGGAATGAAGGCTAACCAGGCTAGTCCCCTCAACAAAATGGAGACCCAAGAGAAACTCACCAGTGGGAGAAGGGGGCTGATCTGACAGAAGGATATTCCAGGGTGAGAAGGCCACAGTAATGGTTGAATGTTCTCAGGCAAGGAGGCCCCGGTGCTGAGGGAAGTTCTAGCATAGGACAATAGCTGATGTATGAGTTTGAATTCCAGAAGTCAGAAGCAGATGGAGCAACTGGGTGTCACAGTGGATAGAGAACCCAGCCTGGAATCAGGAAGATCTGAGTTCACATCCGGCTTCAGACACTTACTAGCTAGCTATCTGATCCTGGACAAGTCGCTTACTCTTGTTTGCCTCAGTTTCCCCATCTGTAAAAAAAGCCAGAGAAGGAGACAGCAAACCACTACAGTATCTTTGCCAAGAAAACCCCAAGTGGGGCCACAAAGAGTCTAAAATGACTGAATGACAACAGAAGCAGAGATTGGAAGGCTCTGATTCATTATAGCCAAATCCCCTTAGTGTTCTTTGTGGACCAGATTTTATGATCTGATGTTATAAAAATGCAGTGGATAGAGTGTTGGACTTGGAGTCAGGAAGACTTGAGTCACTCAGACACTTAGTAGCTAGTGACCCTGAGCAAACTGAGCAAATTGTTTAACCTTGTTTGCCTCAGTTTCCTCATCTGTAAAATGGGAATAATAATAACCCCTACCTCCCAGGATTGTTGTGAGGATCAAAGAAGCCAACACATATAAAGTGCTTTGCAAACCTTAAAGTATCATGTCAATGCTAACTAGTATTACAGGAACACATGTAGAAGTCCTATTTTCCCCTGTGCATATGTACAATATAGTAGCATGAGAGAGATGTTGTATTCCTTGGGGGTACTAGCTGCATAGCTGCCTTGCCTTCAGAGCTCAATTGTCCTTCCTTACTTGCTTTGTTAACACAATACCATAGATCTCTGCCAGAATTATTTGCATTTTTTTTCTTTTCTTTTCTTTTTAAGGATAATCACATACCTTTACTGGCAGATAATTGAGGGAAGGAAGATCATGATCAAACTCCTACATGAACAGATCATCAATGCAAGTTTCTTACTATTGTTGTTCTCTTTTTCTCTTTTAAACTTGAAAATAATCATAAAAGTGTTCTATGGGTCCCATTTCCTCACTGGGTCCTGCCTAAAGCTCTTAACCTAGAGTCTATGAACTTGGGTGTGTGTGTGTGTGTGTGTGTGTGTGTGTGTAAATATGTATACAAGTGTATATATAGATGTATGCATATATACATATGTATGTGTATATATGTATGTATATGTACATATAACTATATTTCAGTATAATTAGTTTCCTTTACAATCCCATATTTTATTTTATGCATTTAAAAAATTATTCTGAGAAGGGTCCCCTAAGATTCACCAGACTGCCAAAGGGGTCCATGAAATAAAAAAGGTTAAGAACTCCTCTGCTAAAAAACTGAAGAGCTTATGGATATTCTGGGGGGGAGGATAAAGAAAAAATTAGATTTCCTAATTATATAAATGTCATGGGCGTTATCCTTGGACTAAAATTCTGTTTAATAACAAGGGTGTGTATGGGTCACTGATCCACTGGGGTTTGGTAGTAGGAGAGATTTATTTCCTCCGTCATGTATCCCAGAATCATCATATAGCTGTCATCACCGTGAATAAGTTTCTGTATACAGTGAGACAGTTTGAGAAAACATTCTTTAAGAAACTTGGATCTAGGGGCAGCTACGCACAGTAGATAGAGCACCAGCCCTGGAGTCGAGAGGACCTGAGTTCAAATCCAGCCTCAGACACATAACACTCACTAGCTGTGTGACTCTGGACAAGTCACTTAACCCCAATTGCCTCACAGAAAGAAAGGAAGGAAGGAAGGAAGGAAGGGAGGGAGGGACGGAGGGACGGAGGGAGGAAGGAAGGAAAGAAGGAAGGGAGGGAGGGAAACTTGGATCTAAATGACCTGAGTGACAGAACTCAGGAGAATTTGGATTTACTCCGAGTCAGACGTATAGGATGGACTGGCCCTACACATACATGAGTAGGTGTAGCTACTTAGAATCATAGAATCTCAACATTTGAAGGGTCCTCCAAGGTTACCCGTTACAACCCATACATGAATTATGAATCTCATCTACAGTGTCTCAGACAAGTGGCTGAGCCTCTACAGAGGACTTACTGCCTTATGGAGCAATTTACAAAGAACTTGACCAAACACACCTTATCTACAGAATTACTGGTCTGAAAATGTGAGAGTCACTAATCACCTGGGTAGGGCATTGTGCCCAGGTCTCGGTTAAAATACTCATATATTAATGCTTGGAAGAAGTTTTCCTAGATCTGATCTCTTGGCGCAGTTTACTTCATTAACTTCACTGGTTGAGGCCTTATGCTCTTGAGGAAATGAAATAGAGAAAGTCTACATCACCTTTAAGGGACAGGGAAATGCAAGGCTGGGACAATCTCTGGGGAGTGGTTGGAGAAGAGGCATTGCATGGAAATGAGTCAGGAAGGGTAGATCTAGGATTTATTAGGGCACATAGAGTGACTACCAGAATGGGGAGGGAGATGTGAAGAAAGATGCCAAGAAAAGGGGAAAAAAAGGAAGAATGCAGAAGGCAAGTTCATATTTGTCATAATTTTGCCCAAGAGGTCTAGGAAAATATAATACTCCTTCTGGCACCAAGACCAAAAGCACCTCCAATTTTCTAGATTCAGAGGGATGCATCACTATGCATGGGCCCATTAGAGAAGGAAGAGAAAATGAGGTGTTGGTGTTTTAGTCAAAATCTGTAACAATTTCATTTCACACCAAGAAAAAAACATGGTGGCTGTTCTTCATCCAATTCTTCTAACCCTTTTTCCAAACTGAATGTTCTAATGGAGTATGAAAATCAAACGACTTCCTTTTTCCAAGAGTCTTCCCTCACTTGGGCCACCTGTTCCCCATAGCTTCATACCACTCTTGTTTTGGACAGGAAGGAAAAGACAAGATGTTTCTTGTGGAGAAGCTTTTAAAGCTCCAGGACTCCCAGAAGAAACCAAGTACTTTCCCACCAGCTCAAGAAAGGAGAGAACAGGAGGTGAGTCTCAAGTCCTAACGCTGAGTCTGGGCTTCTCCTATACTTCCCTTTGAACCTTGATGAGGTGTAGTAATGGAAAGAGTCCTGGCCAAAAAATCAGAAGGCATGGATTCTCGTCCCAGCTGGGTCATAAAATGCCTGGGTGCTCTAAGGCATAAACCACTTATACTTTCTAAACCCTATCTCCCCGATCTGTTTGTTTTTTTTTTAAATTTTCCTTCCCTAATTCCATCAAGGGATATTATGAGTACTGATAAATGAAATAATATAGGTGTGATATTTTAAAAGTTTGAGAGACATAGTTTCTGGGTAATTTAATCATTTTATTAATAAGGCTAGCATATTTATTAATAAAAGAGGTCAGTGGCACTCTTGAATGCCAAAGACCCCTCAAAGTGGGTTCACAGTTTATATATGCTTGGAAGAGTGAGCAATGAGAGAATGAATATTATTATGAGAAGCTGGCTATATTATGTGGGGATAAAAATTATCCAACCTATAATGAGAGACTGAGGCAGAGCTCTGAGCCAAAGGCACTTTATTATAAGATCAACATCTGTTCATATTGGACAAGATAGAATGGTCAGAAGGTACAAAAATAAATTTAGAAGACTTTGCATGTAGTTGAGTCACCTCTGCCACAATGGACTTGGTCACCATGACAAGGAATAACAAGGGTAGAGAGCTTGTGGCTTCCTTCCTATGATTACATAAGTGATCTTACCATCTGCAGCTCACAGCTCTGGGGCCAAATATACAGGTCTTATAATCATTACCCTTATCATATCAAATTGATTAATATTAATTGGAATAGAGTAGGGGTTCTCAGTGAATCAACTTTCTCAATTACAATGAGCATCTTCAGGTACAGTGACTTGGATCACCCAAGTCCTGGTCAAAGAGATTTATCAATTTCCATATCACCTGTCTGACAAAAGGGAGAATCCACATTTTCCCAGACCTGTCTTAAGTAAACACAATGAGCAGGAATCTACCCATTAACCTAAACTTAGAATTTCATTTTCTTTTTGATTAGATCTTAGCCTGGGTAAGTCTTTACTCAAGATTTCCCATACTGGTTGATTTCTGAATGAAGAAGTAGAAAGGGGGAAAAAACTTGGTCCTGATTCAGTAATTAGTTACTAGATACAAGAGAGAAATAATCATTTTTCTCATAGGTAAACTCCCAAAGGCTATATAAATGTAAGGGATGAATATTATTTATACTGACTAAATAGAGCTAATTTCTGGAAGCTTCAAGAGTAAAAATTTTTCTGAGAATGTTGTGAGTGCTCATCCAAAGTGAAGCAACAATGGTGAATGAGGGAAGTGTCTGCTCTGTGTCAGGAACTCTCCTGGACTCTGGGAATACAAAGACAAAAGTAAAAGTCTCAGGTTTCAGGGAGCTCCCATTCTAACAGAGAAGAAACATGCATACAAATGGGCCTGTACATATATATATATGTGTGTGTGTGTGTGTGTGTGTGTGTGTGCGTGCATGCGTGTGTGTATATATATATATGTATATGTATGTGTGTGTGTGTATATTTATATGTGTGTATATATCTATATCTATATCTATATCTATATATATATATATATCTATCTGGAAACCTTGAAGGGGAGGGCTCTAGTTGCTGAGAGGATCAGGAAAAGCCATCTGAGGAAGGGAGGAAGGTAGCACTGATGAGTTTCAAAACCGTGGTTTCAGGAAGTATAGATGAGAAAGGAATGCATTCCCGGCACAGAGGACATCTATTGGGATAACCTCATCACCCTGCAAGATCTCATCAGTCTTGGTCCTCCACCTTGTCACTACCCGTTGCCTCTCTGATTGGAGGGTAAGGCCTTGAACTCCAAACCTCCATTTAAGGAGAGACATCTCCTCATTTCTCACCTGGCTGCACTACTTTCAGTCTTCTCTGACTGACTTCTCCACTATGACCCCCTGTTGGGTGCTTTCTCCTCCTCCCCTCACTATGCTTTTCAGCTTCCTTTATGTGTTGTTTTCCCCATTAGATTGTAAGCTCCTTGAGGGCAGGGACTCCCCTTCCCCCCCATATTTGAATCTCCAGTGCTTAAAACAGTGCCTGGCATATAGTAGACATTTAATAAATGTTTGTTGACTAGTGTAAAGGCATAGAGACTAAAAATGTAGAATTGTGTGTGAGGAACAGCAAGAAGACCACTTGGTTGGAATGCAAAATATAGGAAGAGGGAGTAATGTATAAATAAGGCTGGAAAAGGTGGTTTGGGGCTAGGTTGTTTAAAAGTCAGACACAGGAGTTTGTATTTGATCTTAGAGGTTACATGGAGCAATTGAAGTTTATTAGGGGGGAGGGGAGAGAAGGTAGTCACTGTGATGGGTGGCCATGTTTGCCATAATGTTGGGGAGTAAGTACTGACTCTGGAATCAGAGGACCTGGGTTCAAGGATCTTTAGGAAAATCACTTTGGCAGCTGTGTAGAGAATGGATTGGAACGGGGAGTAGCTTGACTCAAACCATTTAGAAGACTATTGTGAGAATCTTTGGGCAAAATGATGAGGGATTGTTTCTGTTTTGTCTTGGTATCAGTAGCATCTAACATGCATATAGCAGGCATGAATCAATGTCAAATTGAATTGAATAATGGAATGTATGAAAAGGCAGTGGTAGTATCTTCTAATTCTGCTGAAGATCCCTTACTACCTTCTTATGGAGCTGTTTCTATAAGAACCCATTAATGTTATTTTGAAATGGATATAAAAATAAAAAATGTCCCCCAAAATGATGTCATCTATCCTTAATATTTAAAGGCAGATAAAGCTATGTTGCGCACAGTACTCTTGGGTACTCACACTTTTAAAAAAAAGTGTGGATAGGTTCACACTTTAAAAAAAAACACCAAAACTGAGGAAAAAAGAGGTTAAGACTCGCCCAGGGTATATTTAAAAGTCAACATAATAGTTTGTATTTGATCTTAGAGGTAAGATGGAACCATTGGAGTTTATTGAGTGGGGTGGGAGAGAGGGAGTGACATAGTCAGACTTGTTCAGTAAATTCACTTGGGCAGATGCGTGGAGGATGGATTGGAATAGGGAGTGACTTGATCCAAGAAAAACAATTAGAAAACCATTGCAAGAATCTTTATGTGAGCCTTCAGTGGGCCTTCAAATATGGAAAACATTGAAAACTAATATCTCTCTTGCTTCTAAGAAATTGGCACTAAGAAAAATTTTCAGAAATTACATCCCCATCACTATCCCTTTGTGAATCTACAAATTTGTCATGCACATATCAAGAAGGACATAGTGGATAGAGTACTGGCCGTCAAGTCAGGAGGAACCGAATTCAAATCTGGCCTTGGACCAAACACTTGACACTTACTAGCTGTTGTGAAGAAGGGAGATCATAAGATCATAGAGCTAAGGCCAAAAGAGATCTCAGAAGCCATCTGGTACAACCCCTTCATTTTACAGATGAAGAAACTAAAGCCTAAAGAAGTTAAGCGGATTGCCCAAGGTCATACAGGTATCAAGCAAGAGAGGAGGAATTTGAACCCAGGTCCTCTGATTCCAGATTCAGTGGTTGTTCCACAACACTACACTAAAAATGGCTGCCCAATCACAGTGATTACAAAAGAAATGCAACGGCTATCCAGATCTTACAGGCTGTGTTTGTGCATTACAAAAAGGCCTTGTAAAGCAGAAATCATCAAAACTACTTGGTGTACTGGCTAAGAAATAGAGTGGTGGATCTGTGGAATAGGTTAGGTATGCAAGACACAACAGTCAATGACTATACTAATCTACTGTTTGATAAATCCAAAGACTCCAACTTCTGGGATAAGAACTCTCTATTTAACAAAAACTATTTGGAAAAACTGGAAAAATGTATGACAGAAACTGGGCATACACCAATATTTTACACCCTATACCAAGTCAAAATGGGTACAGGATTTAGATATAAAGACTGACACCATAAGCAAACTAGAAGAGCAAGGAATAGTTTACCTTTCAGATCTATGGAGAAGGGAAGAATTGATGACCAAACAAGAGATAAAGAACATTATGAAATGCAAAATGGATAATTTTGATTACATTAAATTGAAAAGGTTTTGCACAAACAAAGCCAATGCAACCAAGATTAGAAGGAAAGCAGAAAACTGGGAAAGAATTTTTTTACAACCAGTGTCTCTGATAAAGGCCTCATTTCTAAAATATAGAGTCAAATTTATAAGAATACAAGTCATTCTCCAATTGATAAATGGTCAAAGGATATGAACAGACAGTTTTCAGAGGAAGAAACCAAAGCTATCTATAATCATATGGAAAAAGTTGTTCTAAATCACTATTGATTGGAGAAATACAAATCAAAAGGACTCTGAGGTACCTATCACACCGATCAGATTGGCTAACATGACAAAACAAGGCAATGATAAATGTTGGAGAAGATGTGGGGAAATTGGAACACTATTGCACTGTTGGTGGGGTTGTGAAATGATCCAACCATTTTGGAGAGCAATTCGGCATTGGTGCCCAAAGGGCTATAAAATTGTGTATACCCTTTGACCCAGCAACACTACTTCTAGGTCTGGATCCCAAAGAGATCATAAAAACTGGAAAAGGACCCACATGTACAAAAATATTTGTAGTAGCTATTTTTGTGGTGGCAAAGAATTGGAAATTGAGGGGCTGCCCATCAATTGGGAATGACTGAACAAGTTGTGATATGTGAATGTAATGGTACTATTGTGTTATAAGAACCAATGAGCAGGCAGACTTCAAAAAAACCTGGAAAGACTTACATGCACTGATGCATAGTGAAATGAATAGAACCAAGAGAACATTGTATGCAGTAACAGCCACATTGTATAATGCCTGACTTTGATAGACATAGCTCTTCACAGCAATGCAGGAATCTATGACAACTCTAAGAAGACTTACGATGGAAACTGCTATCCACATCCAGACAAAGAACTATGAAGTCTGAATGCAGATGGAAGCATACAATTTGCTCT